TTTTTTATTTCTCTCCATCTCCGCAGTCAACTCCATATACCGGTATCGCACGCACTATGGAAAGCAATGATACAGCAGAAATGGGAATTGGATAGGTGGAAAGCATCTCGTCACCACGAATAAATTCATGGCCGTGCCTCTATTCAGACATGACATGCTACAAAGAGTCAAGATTCAATGTCAGTTGCTGTGATTGACTTCTTGATGCGGTTGTCCCAAGCTTGCCCGCCTGGTGCGGCGGCGCAAAAAAGAAGAAAAAAGTGTACCGCGCCGTCCCTCTAGCACAATGCTTAAGTAAGATATGCGGTGCCCCTCACTTTGACTTTAGCATTGTCCGACTTTCCAAACTTTTGTCACATCACGTCGTCACATTTATCACGTCGCATCATTGCATCATTTCAAGCTCGAATGAAACAAAACAAGGCTTTGCCGCAAGAAAGCAATACGGGGTATCAATTAAGTAGACCTTGGAGACCTGAAAAGAGATGTCCTCCTCGCCCTGCGCTCCAAATGCCGAAAACGCCGTGCGCCGGCTGAATGAGTCGACCGACCACATGAGCCCTTCCTTAAATCAAAATCAAGTACCTTTGAACTTTTTTCTTCCTTATCCCCATGCCATGCTCATGAATGTCAAAGTATACACCATCTCCCCACTCACACTTATGCCCACTCGGCAAGCAGTGCCATGAGTCCTCCGCCGAGGAAGACACATCCGAGAGCCGAAAGCTTCATCTTGAGACCAGCCTTCTGCATTTGCGGCGAGAAGAGGAACTCGTGAGCCATAAGCTCCACCAGACCGGTGTAGAGCAAGATACCTGCCGAGATGGAATCGAAGATACCATTAACGATCAGTGTGGTGTTGGAACCGGGCTGCAACGTCTCACGGACTCCGAGACCGGCAGCGATGGCAATCGGGGTGCTGAGTGCATAGAGAGCGCCGAGGAGGTACGGCATGTAGCTCTTGCCCGCTGGCCAGGTGGCGGTGCCGAGTCTGGAGCCCAAACCGAGACCCTCGAACATCTGGTGGAAGACTAGGACGATGTACAGAACGACAAACTCGTCGCCGGCAACAGCCAGGGTGAGACCGATGAAGATGGAATGGAAGATGACACCAAATTCGAGGACAAAGAGAGCAGTCATCTGCGCGGCAAAGGCAGCCTCGGTCTCCGAGTGGTCACGGTGATGTCCAAGATGGTCCTCACCCGGCAGACCAGTCTTGACCTGCTCCTTGGAGTGGCCGCCAGCCTCCAGGTCTTGAGGGGGCGGGGTCGGGGCGTGAACAGATGTGTCTGAGCCCTTCTTCAGGAGGTTCAGCGAGGGGTCGACAGCCTCACCTCCGTGGCTGTGGCCAGAACCAAAGAGGTCATAATGACTAATCACAACCTCGATCAAGAACATGACCATGATGGTCATGAAGCAGATGCCGCCAGCCCACGGGTAGGCAGAGATCTCGAGGTCTTCAAGACAAGGCGAGCTCAGCGCATCAAAGGCAGGCACGAGTAGGTGCATGATTGAAGTGGCGATAATGACACCGGTACCGAAGTACTTGGCGACAAAGAAGGTGATGGGCGGAACATTGATGCGACGGCTTCTAGCCAGCACAACTGGCAGAATAGCACCCAGAAGCGACGAGACGAGGATGACAAAGATTGCCGAAATGCGTAGGCCAAGTCGACCATCGAACTCGTTACCAGAATCGCATTCGACTGTGACAGTGGACGGTTCCTCCTCGGGGACGTCGCCGGCATCTTGCCGTCTGAGCAAAGCTGCGCGCAGGAAAACCTCCATGACGGCGTGATTCTCTTATCGTTGCTGTTGCGACTATTGTTGTTCTTGACACTGCTGTCCGTCCTGCGCAATGTCGCTTCGGGTGAAGAAAGAACTGTGTTGGTCTTCTTGTTTGTAAAGTGATGCGATGGGCAAGAAATATCGACAAGCTCTGGTCTGGAGCGAGAGATAACACCCTTGTCAAGTAGTCGACTATTTGAGTAGGTAGGTACCGTGGGAGGTTGCTGGAGTTGCTTCCCACTGTTCAGGGCACTCTTGACTAATCTGAACTCTATTTGAGCATAGAAGTCCGGTGAAGGCCGTCGAGGTGAATCAGGCTGGCTTGGGTCAAGAAGGGAAAAGGTAGAACAGGTCGAGAGCCGCTTATGTAGTACTCACTCGGCACGCGCCCAGCTGCAAAAGAGGACCTGGTGGGCTGGAAATGCTCGCACTTGCCAGGCAGGGGATTGGCAAAACGGAATAAAGACCGAAATAGTCCAATGGATACCCAAGAATGGAAATACAAAAACCAGCCAGGTCAAGCGGTCTGATTGTCTCCCCCTCCGTAAGGAAAAGAAAAGAAAAAAACCGGGCTCGTGGTGAATCGGAGGAGAGAAAAAAGAGCATTACGGCACCTATCCAGCTCAATGGGGACGGGTTGGTGATTATGGATCTTTTGGACCCACTTGCGACCCGGAAGTTGAGAACCTTGATGGCCGGCATCGTGCTGTGCAGAAACCACGAGCAAAGCACCACCACCTGCACCTGCAGCCTGCAGTTTCGCCCTGCCCAAAAAAAAAAAAAAAAAAAAAACAACACAGACCAGATCTCGGAGCCACCAACTCAACTTTGTGTGTACACTCCGTACATAATAGATTTTGACGGGACTGTGACCACGATGCGATGCTGTGCGCGCTGCACGCTATCGATCGGCCCACCTTCCCTTCATCCACCTGGGCACTTCCCAAAACCGAGCGCGTGAGAAAGTTTCGAGGGTCTCGGCGGCTCATTGATCAGAGTTCTTCTTTTCACTGGATATCTACATTCTAGTGTACGTACCTGCGCACGCACCAGGATCCCGGTCAGATAGCAATGATAAGTACGTAGATTCGAGATGCCCTGCTTGTCAGACAAAGAGGCAAGAGACTTTTTGTCGAGACAAGGCCATTTGGTCGAATCCGCTGCCGGCATAGACGAAGTGAGAACCCGGATGGACGGGGAGGCGCTTCGACGGCGCAGACTCTAATGACAGCCGCTTTTCCTTCGACTGCAACTGGCTAGTGGCGCCGGCCGGCCGCTGGTATCAAATCCTTTTTGCTGTTTTAGACCATATCGCCAAAAGACTCCAGCGGAGTCAACATGGCGTACCTATCAGAACGCTGACAAAACAATCCCGGCAAGCAGCCCGTCCTTTGGCTGGGAAGATGCCAGACTCCATCCAGATCAGCGGAGGGGCAGCGACCTTTTTGCTCCAGCCAAGCCCAGCACTGGCCCCAGTTTGCTCGGATAGAGATGCAGAGACAAAGACAGGGTGCAAGAATACCACGCAACTCCAAAATGGACAATCATGACATAGCCGACCGAGATTTGATAATGATACTGGACCAAACTCCATAATCACGTACATACGTTGAGATAGACATAGTAGTTCGCGTGACTCCACCGTATACTAGCACAAAGTCTTCCCGGTGACACCCGTACAACGCTTTCGAATTAAAAGAAGGTGCTACGAACACTCGCACAGCAGCTCGCTTGTCTCACCTCGGGCACATGGAATTCGAAAAACTAAAAATCCAAACGACAAGAATAGAACATTGGACGAATTAATCAAGTATCACCGGTCATCTGTGCAAGTCACCATTCCTGTGTTGTTCGGCCCCCAGGTCATTCATCGTCAACGCCAGACTGGGGTGCTCCATGTCTGCTTACGATAGGACTGGTAGGTGTCCATCAAGGTCCTCAACGCCAAGTACTGCATTATTTCCAAGACTTTCCACACACCGACAGCCCAATTATCAGAGGGCAAAGGTGTGAAGAAGAAGAAAAAAAAAAGATCAACACAGAGCAGCAGAGCAAATGATCCGATTTCTCTGAATTGAGGAAACGCAAGTAAGACAAAGGTCAACGTTCCCCAATGGGCAGCCTCCCGATCGCCTTGTTACACATGCAACAACGCCGCTTTCCTTATTTCCCAAGAGCTGAACGGACGTTAAATGTCATCCATTCGTCGAGTTCCAAATGTGCAACATGAACACGTCCCATCCGATATTCCGTGCCAACTTAGACCCCATATCCAACCCGTTTTAAAATTATGGCAACATGCATTCATGGGTTGCTTGTAGCCTGAGCACCACATTGCCGTTTAGTGACACAAAGAAGCTTCAATATTTCCGTGGGCATTTTGCTGTTGGAAGTAATTTTATCATGTATAATTGAGATTCTACAACAGTCGGGTACGACAAAGTCTTACGTCGACTTTCTGCCAGGCTGGCTGAGTGACGCTGAAGATCTCTCAGTCTTTCTAAAACAAGATCCTCGCAGAAATGGTATCTCATTTTCAAGTTCTACGCTCCGGTAAAGGATATCGGGCTACGTGGCGCGGGAGGGGATGAGAGGAATCCATTTTCCCTTACACAAGCATTTGCAACATTGATACTCGTATGACCCTTGGTGGCCCATCAACGCGAACCACTATTGAGCCGCAACTATGCAATGGGCGTCCATCTCGAAGCTGAACGAGGCAATTGCCCCGACAGGAACGAAACATGGTAGTCTTGTCGGCTAATGAGCAAGCTGCGGGACCGAGCCCGGCGCGCTGGGAACTCGCCAATGTACATATGCAATGTACGCACGTAGCTGCAACGCATCCTCGCCTCGTGGGCTTATTATTTGCGAAATGGGTGGCCATCAAGGTTGTGGAGTAGTCAACTTAGCCGTTGCTAGACCTTGCAGGGCAAGCAAGCTACCCTACTTGGAGTGTGCGGCTTGAGAGGTATTTCCGCTCTCTGTCTTGAACTTCAGTTATTTCCATACATGTTTTGAGATGCCCAGAAAAGCTTCAAGCCCTGCTGCGTATTGGCATGAGCTTGACTCACGCTGTCCTAAGATGCCCAGAAAAGCTTGAGGTTTTTGATATACGTTGGTGTGAGCTTGGTTCAAGTCTAAGCCCACGAATCGTCGATCATGCCGCCCGAGATACCTGTCCAAGCAGAAGCCAGTCAGATTTGACGACATACACCGAATAGGATGATTGCCATGAAATGTCTGATCCTAGTCCGGCCAAGCTAATGATGCATCACTTTGCAGGCTAGCCAATTAAGAAAGTGTATTGCCGGTTCATGAGGAGAACTGAACCTCGAGGCCGAGACTTCGAAACGGTGAATCTAGTCGGCGCAGGTCTATACCACTTCCTAGACTGAACAGCAAGGATTGAACTCTCCCTTCCCAGAGCAGTCCGATTTTTAAGTTTTGGTCCAATCGGGCCTTTAGCACTCCGGAATATTCCTCCTCCTCGTCATCCCCTAATCTTGTAGCGAGGTCGTCGTCGGGGGTATCAGCTCTCCATTCCATCTTTGAACGAAAGCTACGTTGCCTTCTCTGAACGGATTCGGTCAGCTCTGGGTTGGTTGCCTCGGCTGGGCTGACAGGTAGAGCTGGCTCGGCTGGAGTTGGTGCAATTACAACTTCCGGCGCATGTGCATCATCAGATGGCAATGGTTCGTCCAATCTCCATTCCAGCTTTGCTTGAAAGCTCCTTTCCCTGCGAGTGGGAGCGTCTTCGGCAAGGGTTGCGGCATCGTCAGACTTGTCCACGGTCCAAGCACCCTTCTTGCGCCAAAGCTCCATTCCGATAGTCCAGTCACTCTCATAGCTGTAGACGTTGAAATCCATCCTGCTAGCCAGAGCGCAGTGCTTTCCCGCCATGACTGCATAACTCCAACTAATATTACCCATCAGGGGGTTGATGGTCATTGTAGCCGTGAGTGGAGATCCTTTGTACGTGGGCAAAGTCGCAAACCTCATGCCCATACTCATGCCTCCGGATTTGTTTAATGTGCCGTAGTACAACTCTGCGCCAGCGCTGAAGCGCCCGTAGATGCCCTCACGCTCGCCGTTCCCCTGGCCATTACCATTGCCATTCGTATACCGTGTGCCCTGATCGTCATCCGTAGCTGGCTTGGGCTGCAGCTTTGAGACATCCCCTCCAAAGTTGTACAGTCCGCGCAAACCCATGAGACCCCCGTCCGAGGATGCCAGACCCTCAATGCCATACTTGCCAACATCATACTGAACCATGCCCAACATGGTGCCGCCATTGCGCAAGGTCTGCTCCGAGACAGCGCTAACCTGTACTTGCAGGTCGGGTGTGAACTTCTTGACCACCAGGGCCTCCAGCATGGAGAGCGGGAGGTACAGCCTCCCGTAGGCCAGCGTGTCCTTTTCGACGCGATCCCATCCTCGTATCCAGTTGCCGCTGCCGGTAGTGCCCCGTGACAGCTCGGCCAGCGGCTTGTAGCTCCTGAGAAGGTCGGGCAGGGGAATTCGGCTGCTCTGCGCAATGGCATCGGCGAGGGGTACCGAAGAGTACAGGTACGAGACGGAGCCGTCGACGACGCCGACGGTGCCGAGCTGGTAGGCGGTCGCGAACTGAGGCGTGGCCAGAGAGCCCAGCGTTAGGCGCAGGCCTCGCGGTGTTGGGAAGTTGAGCAGTGCGTCGGCCGTCGCGTTGAGGGACGAGTACGAATTGTCGCGGTTCCAGCCCGTCGCCGCGTAGAATGCGCTCTGGATGTAATCCATGAATTCGCGCATGGTGGGCGGCGCCTCCCTCGTCGGTCGTTTTGTAGTCCGGTTTTCTTTTCTTTTCTAGCTTCCAATTCTCAAGGTCTGCTTACCCGGAGGTAAGCTGAAGGGCTACCGAGGACGCATCGGGTGGCTGTACGGTAAGCTGGGCCAAAGGAGCGAAGCACAGCTTGAGTTAGTCGACGACGACAGAAGAGAGAAGTCGATTTTGGTGTTTTAAGATATTCCAGGCTCTAGAACCGGCAACGGAGACCCATCGCAATTGATGAATTGTGAGCTTGGACAAGCTATTGTGGCTAGTGTAACGCGGCGCCACATAAAATATGGGGTTCTGCCAAATCTGATCGCCAAGACTTCACTTGCAGGGATGAGAGTTCTCTTTACGAACCAGAGCGGGTTTGCTCCGAATCACCGACGAGTATACGATGGTCGTATATAGGCAGTTTTTAGTAGTATTCAGATGAGATTATATTTAGTCCTTTAGTATTATCGAAACTCTATAAGTCATCCATAAGTTATAGCCGGAATATTAGTGCATTAGGATGGAGGAATATCAAGGACGAAACGCCTGGCTCAAAGTCGGGTTTCAAGGTCCCGTGATGAACTAATCAATGTCATTACCACGTTGGAATAACCTATGTTGGATATTCGCGAGTTAACTGTATTATCCTTCCCCCAACTTGTAAGTAAGGCTCTCAACCTCGAAACCAGACACATAACTTACATCAACAGCCAAAGGCATCTCATATGTCCATTGCGAGTCCAATCCGTTATAAGAGGAAACCCCTGTCCTGGGATGCTTGCAGGAGCCCGAACGCGCTAATCCCAGCCACAGATAGCGTGATCTCTCACCAACGAGGACGCGGGAAGGAAGCAAACCTCCTATTCTCCCTCGGCCTACTGCCTTCCCATCGGAGCTTTCGAGCTACATCGCGGGCCTTTTTGGTCATCAATAGCTTACTCTTGGTATTCCGAAATCACCGTGCCTTGTCCACATCTTCCGGGTCGCAGTCCGAGACGCTGCCTTGGTCGCCAAGGAAGCACGGTGACGAGCAGCTGACGTCCTTGACCGCTCCACGCCAGGACAGATCAGTCAGCCAATAGGTCCCCGACACGGATACATTGAATTCACTACATTGTCGCTCGAAATTTCTTCATCTCCTTGAGAGCCAGGAAGCTTGACAATGTCTCACACAACTATGAGCTTCCAAATGAATCAGATGGCAACGTCCCCAGCAGAAACTTGTGGCAGTACGCTCGCCGACCTTTATGCATGCCTAGCCAGAGTCAATAAGCAGCTTGCAGGACTTCCAAAAGCCGTCCCACTGACCACCTCCAAATTCGAGAATGCCTGGGTCAGCAGAGATCGCTCAGCAAAAGCACGACAAGAGGCCGCTTCGCGCAAGCGTGGACTATTAGCAGAGCAAGGCTCGCTGAGGGCAGCCATAGGAAGCAAATCGAAGCGTGGTGTGCGAGAATTGCATGTCTTTGATCTTCCCGAGGAAATAATCTGCCAGATCTTTGAGCACCTACGGGGATCGCCCTATGTGGAGGAGGCGAGTGGTCTGGCCTGCTTGCGCCATGCCAGCAAAGATATCAGGAATGTTCGACTAACATGCCGGCGCTTTTACGGGGCAAGCTCGCATCTTCTCTTGAGCCTTATCACGCTGGACCTAAGTGCAGCCTCGGCGTCGCGCATTCGGGACATATCGCAGCAACCCCTCATCCGCAGAGGTGTGCGTGGGGTCAAAGTGCAGATGCAATTCTATGACGAAGGTCTAGCGCACAGTCTACGGGACTTTGCCATTTATAATATCGTCAAGCTACGACAAGAGATTCGGAGGCTGGAAGGCTTATCCGAATGGAACAACAACGAAAAGGATATCAAAAAGGCCAACCTGATTGTGAACTCATGGTTGGCACTAGTCGAGAACCCCCTTCAGCCAGCTCATGCAATGGACGAGAGGCACCTGCGCTACCAGAATCTGTTGTTGGACGCCCACGAAGAATACAAACTTCTCAGAAAGAAACAGTGCAACACTTTGGAAGATGGAAGCTTTATCAAGGCAGTCGGCCAGGCCTTGAGCCGCATGCCTCAAGTGAAAGGACTTCAGCTATGCGGAGGCAATTGGTTTGACAATGTGCGCATAAGATTTGGTGTTCTCAAGAGCGACCATATCCTTCGCCAAGCTCTTTTACTGCCCATGACCTGCCATGAGATGGATTTCCAGCCCATACAAACCCTCAATGCTTGGGGCCAACTGTTCCACGATCAGAGCAACGCTCAAACAATCTCCAACAGCATATCGCGGCGTGTAGTAGGCAAGAGTCGACGTCATGTTCAAAAAGTCATGCTCAGTGACTTTGTTATCTCGACAAGTCTTCTAGAGAACTTTCTCAACTGTCTGGGTGGTTCGCCACTGAAAGTGACATTGAAAAACGTGGGCTTGAAAACGGGCACATGGGAAGGGATTTTGGACCTTTTACGGCAGCATGATTACTGCGTCTGGCGAATCGATGAACCTGTTGGTGCGGAGCTCAACTTGATGGCAGTCGCAGAGAAGCGGCGTATATTCGGCAGTTCAAGATCAAAGTCATCCGAGGGGCTCAGTCTGGCAGAATCTTACATTGCTGGCGTACCGGGATTTACCAACCCATTCACAGTCGACACGGCGAGTGACGAAGAGTAGAGTGCAGCGTCTCAGTGAGCCTTTTACGCGCCATTGCTGATTGAATTACAAGCGTCAATTTTTTTTCGGTTCCACTTCATAGAAATGGCAGAATTATAGGAGCATCATCAGTTTTCTAATAAGTAGGTAGGCTGTGCGTGATGGAGCACTTGACCCCAATTGATTGTTAAATGAGATATGGTTTGACTGTGACCAAGCATACCGGGCTTGTATTGATATAGTCTTGAATCATAACACTGGGATATTTTCGAATGACTTGAGAATGGGTCTTATGTGTAGGCCTTGAGCATTGTAGCTTGAACGTTCTATCACGATATACTCCCATGAGAGATTCAGCCTATCCAGTCCCCGGGTATTCCCTATAACTTTGTGTTGCGCATATGTGGAATGAACCCCAGTCAACTTTTACATATTCAAGTATTGTTCTAACCGCCCTTGTCGTGTATCACCAGAAACCAACTGTCCATGTCATCATTCCGGGCCAACAAACAGCCATTGGCCAGCGCTTCTCATCTCTAGCGTCTTCCATAATGGGTATATATTATTCATATTCGCCTGTCCACAAAGTCAGCCGTCGCCCTCAAGCGTATCTGGTTCTTTCAGCAACGTACTCCTTTTCCCTATTCAAAAAACCAAGTCGGCTAACCATTCGAATTTCCTTTATTTGCCGATAGCCGCACCTTCAGCAGCAGCCGCAGCACCCTCGGCGGCGGCGCCTTCAAACGTGAGAGCACCATCACCTACTACCCTATAGTTTTGAACATTAGATCAGATCGGCTAACGGCCTGAGGCTGAGTGATTCGGGAGACAAAGTCTGTCTCTTTGGGACTTACAAGGCAGGCGAGTAGGCACCGAGGTTGATGTTGAGCGGGGCGGCGACGGCAAACGAGGCCAGTGTCGCAAAGACGAGAGCAAAAGCGGTTCGGGCGTACATTTTTTGTAAAGGGTTGGGAAAAGGATATTAAGTGGGAATATCTGGTTTGTTTAGGTGTTGAATTGGCAAAGCAAATTTCGACTTGTTCGCAGTTGGGATGGTGCAAGAGTATCGCGAGATCGTGTCGTCGTATATTCGTTCAGATGAGAGATGGGCCAGACCTGGGCACGTGAAATGAAAGTATAAGGAACCTTGGTGCACCAGTGCACTTCTAATTACCAAAGCAAAATCAAAAGATGAGACGAAAAAAAGATGAAAGCTGGCTGAGAATAGAAGGTAGCAGAAAGAGGAGTTGTTCAAGCGAGAAAAGCGAGACGACGGGCACTTCTTATTCATCTGGGATCCCTATTGTTAGAAAAGCTGCATTTGCCCAGATGGCTTGGTAAGAGTTTCGCCATTCTTGGGATTTTGTTTCGTCAGGGTCGTGGTCGCGGGCGTGCCCCCTGGGCCAAGAGACTTGGCGATGCTTCACATGTGGGCCAAGCGTGGGATCGGCCTCGAGTTTTGTGAGAGCGACGACGACGCTCGTGTGTTTTAGGCTGCGGGCGATGAATTAACCAAGAAATGTGTTTTTCAGAGTTCTCTAGCAGTTAATTTGCAATAACTCTGCTTGAGAACGATGATAATGCAATGTTAAATGTCTGGCGTTGTTTGTATACCCCGCGCGATTAGAGGTTGCGTGTGCAGACTATAGGTAATATACAGTCTGAAGTCATTGCGGGAGGACGACTCATCTTTATCCGAGCAAGTGATGACGAGACTAATCAAGGTAGGGGAGAATCTGAACTAGAAAGAACTTGTAATTCTATGCCTCGATTCAATTCATAGGCAACGTCTGTGGTGCTAGATACCTAGTAGTGTATTGTTGCGCATCTTCCCTATTCGGTCGCGCCCCAGCCCAGGATTGCCGAGAGCTCTGACACCCCCGCCAAGTAGTTCAACACATCTTGGCTGGTCTCACACGGACGGTTAGAGCACCATGGCGCGTATCACAACGCAAAAAATAATCCACTTGATAAGTGCCGTTCGCAATGATAGTTGGCGAACCAAGACGCTTCCCCGTGGAGAGAAAGCTTGATAAAAATCCGTCTCGTCAAACGCAGGTGAGTCTAGATCGCCTCGTCGTCTAATCTGGAGTCCAGAGTCCAGAGTCCAGACTATGATTCTGGATTGTGGAGCCCAGTCTTGACTAGTTTATTCTTGTGTTGCGCAATACCATCAGCGTCGTGAAACTTGACAGGAGACAGTAGTTCATGAGCGACTCCAACCCTTCTCTTCTGAACTCAAGAATCATGTATCTGAATGATAGAGCTACAGGCAATTATTACACACAACAGTCAAGGTGCTGTACTTCAATGATTGCCAGATTTAGAATAGCAAGGTAATGAAAAAGTCAATATAATGATAATTTCCCTGATGATGCATCTTTGCGAAGAAAAGAAAATTGAGGTTAGTAACGGAGAATTTCGGCATTGCCTCTTTCTGAATGCTTTGATTATCATTGACCAGTTCTTGCTGCCTCGACTAACGGCGTCTCTGTGAGGACAATGTTACCAACCATAGTATCGCCAAGTCTGGGAGTCACACAAAGGTTGGTGGTATCAACCATGTGTGATCTCACAATGTATCTGTGTGCCCTCTAAAAAGATATGTTAACATGAAAGAAGGCGGATGAAAACGACAGCTAGTCTTGGTGTAGGTCACATGTCATATCAACAGCAAAGCCATGGACAACATACTGACAATGCGGATGCTGAAATAGCATGGTTACAGTTGACTACCCAAGCCTTGACCAATAATGGTCAATGCTACCTATATTCCTAGGATCCGAAAAGTGACGAGCAATATAATTGGTCCTATTGGTCAACAAACCCTTGACAGAACAAAGGTTGCATCCATGGAGATGTACGAGCATTAACATGATCAATGCAATTTCTCATCGAAATATCCAGTTATGCATGTATTTTACTCACTACTACCAACCAAGGAATGGAAAGATTTGGGCTTATCAAGATCATGCGATGCAGTGATACAATCTCATCTACTATCTTTGGATCTTGCTGGAAGATGATTGAGATATGAGTACTAGCTGGTGTAATTACCAAGAGACAACCGTGAAAACATTCGACAGATGACGAGTGGTGGCAACTGCTCTTGGACTATGCTAGATCTCTCTATAAATTGCCGTAACACAAAAATCGATACAAAAATCGAGCAACAGTGACATGTTGGAACACAGCGAGTGGGTAATTGCTGGACAGAAAATGTAACTATAGGCCGATCAAAAACAGTACTGGAGTTACAACTGATGATCACTCTTGGAACATTTCCAGCGCAGGCGACACGCGGTGGCACCTATCTGAACTCAAAAGATGTCGATGAAAGAAGGATCAAGTGACATGACAGTGATTTTCTCTAAATTGGAGGGGAGGAATCCCTCACATGAACTTCTTGGCCCTGGCGGTAACTCAACAGGAAAATTACTTGTCTCTGCCCTACGGCTTGTTCTTTAAAGACACTGCAATATCCAAGTTACTGAGAGTCACCCGTTGAACCACTGTCCGTTCTTTGTAGGAGGAAAAAAAGGTAATTGCACACGGGCCGTCATTGAGCGAGTTCAACTTATAGAATACCCAAAGACAGCTCAAAGAAACATGCATATCTCAATTACCCGAATAGCCGTTGTGAATCAATAGAGATGATAATCAAGACGCAAGGACTATCTTCAATGATATATTATATATTATTCTCGCTTATTTAGGAGACGTCTATAACCAAGAAATGTGACAATATGAAGCAATCAAAACTCCAACTATGAACACGAAGTCGGCACTTCGCGACTTCCTGATGAACTTGACTTTAATCATCCATTGCAGTTCGCAGTGTCCTCAGTTATAATGAGAGCATCTATCTAGTTTTTGTATTTGAATACTCTGTCATGCGGTATACGATATCCAATATGATCATTGGCATTATCATTATATGCATGGCCATCACGAGCTATGATTCCTCCACATATGAGCATATTCCATTTTGAGTCCATCCCCCAAGACGTCTTTTGTGCGGCCAACGACCTCGAATCCAAATTGACGGTAAAGGGCTTCACCAGCGGGCGAGGCTTCCAGATATGCATCCAGCTTCAACGCGTCCAAGCGATTACAGGCCCACGACATGAGCGATTTGCCCACCCCACGACGCTGAAAGGTTGGGTCGACGCACATGTATCTTATGTATATACACTCGTTATGTTTCACATGTTTCTGTTTCTCGTTGTGGATGAACCGTAGAAACGTCTCCGCTCTTCGACGTCTGTCCTCGTCCTCGATCCAAGGTGCCTGGATAGTGATGCGCGCCCAGTCCGGGTCGTCGCTGGCAGAACGCAGTGGCGTCACCACCTTTTCACGGTCGTTGGAAGCAGCATCCGGGTCTGGAAAATAAAACATGCCGAAGCCCGCCACACGCCCGTCGGACACCTGCGCCTTGGCGACGATCAACCCAGGGTTAGCACGCATGTGTTGAGCGTGCCTCTCGGCCATGATGGACATGTTGGCAGGGCTTGCTTCGCCGGACACGAGCGTTTCATGCCCAAAGGCACCAATGGCAGCAAACTGAATCCTGACCAGATCATCGAGGTCGGCTTCTGAGGCGGGTTGTATCGAGATTCCTGCCATTATACCAATGCAGAAGATAATATTCTCAAGGGTGCTAGCAGGGTGCACCAGGGCAATTTCTTCTTCGCGACTGTTGTTATTGACGATGATGATATCAAAGCAGTTGACAGATGTCGTTTGAAGTTCATGCTTACGGCCCCTCCGGTGGCCGGGCTCGTTTGTACCTGCATACATGATCGCCATTTCATGCCCGTGTCAGATCTCCGAGCCGAGGCTGTCACGTGAAAAATGACAGTGATCCATCATTGAGGATTGACAGGTGCCTGATACGTCGAGATGGGATGAGGAGCCTTTACTCTCTGGCCCCCCTGTCATGATGAGGCTTAGTCACTCGCCTGAGGCTTTCGCACGGTCACTCAGTCGGTCGCTCGTTTTAGGAAATCTGTACGGTATCATCCGAGTCAGCGAAAGCAAGCAGCAACATTCTCACATCCGGGTCGTGCGAGCTGCGGGTCATAACAGGACGTTTTATCGAGGGCGCAGAAAAGAAATGGTTCGATTCAGGTTGACCTCGACAGTGAGTGGTTCCTAGGTTAATATAAAAATTGTGATTCATCAATGACCTTATATCACTCTGGCCTTCCCGGTATTTGTTAATAATATGACGGCCGGATTAATTAAGAAAAATAGATGAAGACATAGATAACCGTCCGAATGGAACCTTGGTGGAAATTCCGAGAACGAGTAGTGCCAATACCAGGGTCACAGGGCTTAGCCAGTAGTGTTTGGAGACCCTGGTCAGGCCTGTTTCGACGCCGTTGGTGATGGTACCCAGATACATAGTTGAACAGTACAGCAAGTACATACAGTAGGTGTGTAGGCGATCAGTCTACAAGTAATTCGTAGATAGCGTGCAGTGTATGTATGCTCTCAGCTGGCACGTGTATGTAGGGCAAGTAATTAGGTCGCATCCTGTATCAGCAGGATTGAGGCGCTGTCAGGCTAACCGAGCTTTCGAGTCGTACGGTAGTCCATAGTAGAGAGTCCAGGTCGTCCTGGCTGTCAACCATTTCAGGAAAGGACATACATAACCGAGATGAGCTCTTGTGTGACAGCCGCCTAGGAATGCGACTGTGCGACTGTGAAGTACGGATGAGTGATTTCATTGTCTTTTGACAATGGCTCATGTATTGTAACCTCGAATGAGAATGGCCTCGTGTCTTGTCCGTCGCTTCGCAGGTTGATCGATTCTACGTGACACTGCACAAGCCACAACCAATATCAAGTCGAGCACTGAACCAGCACTGGAGTCGGAGTGGTATTGAAGTGGATGATAACACCACCCAAGAGCAACAGATAAAAGCAAAAGCAGCAGCCATTTGTATGCGTAAGTATCTCTAGGGAGAAGAATGTCAATATTTACAAGGGTTCTGATCAAATAATAGGGGCACCGTGCAGCCATTCGGGATATTCCATCGCAGAAAACTGCTAATTCTAGCAACCAGTTACACCTCAGTCTCGCCCTTTTTTTTTTATTTTTTTTGTTCTCCTTACAACATGTCCACGATGAGGTTTACAGCGTTTTATGATTCACTCGGACCACTACCCACGTGGGAATCCATAACGTAGAACAAAACACTCACCTGAGGGAATGGCCGAGGGAAGGGTGAGAAAAAAAAAAACGTGCCATAGATCCTTACCACCATCTACCTAAAAATGCTCCGTACTCTAGCATCGGACCCCACCAAAAGGCGCGCGAATACCCCCCGGTGGCCCCCCCCGGTTTTCCGATATAGATGTGACATGCCCAGTGCACTTCCACTGTAAACCCATGGAAAACCCAGCCTAGAAAGGTCTCTTGGGTTTCTTTTTCTGTGAAAATTTCGAGTTGGTGATGACTCGCTCGCTGATACTGCAAGGAGAGAATGAGAGAGACCGAGGATGCAAGCAATTGTTTCCCACCGGTCAGTGGTCCAATGTCATGCAATGGAAGAATAGCACAACTACCGTCATCTTTTCGCGAGAAACGACCTACACACACACACACACACACACACACACAACTACCCGTCAACTCGTCTAACGACAATCTTTCTGACTGCGTGAGGAGGCAACATGTTTATTGATCTCGTGATACTCGATTACCTCTAGGTCCGCCAGTCAGACGCCACCGGCCGTCGTCGAGAACGCCCCTCGGAACCAAGTCCCCAGGGCCGAGTTCGTGCAAGGGCCATACGAGGTCCGGCCCTTGGCCTTCTTGGTGTCGTGCATCGCTCTGCCATTGGCCTCATGCCCCTGTCCAGCCCGGAGACCCGTTTCGATCCTCGCTTCCTACGCGCGGAATCCAATTTTCGTCGACGCGACCCCCATTCACCTGCGTCCAGGTTGCCGGGTGCAAATTCCCCGCGGTCCCCTGTCAGCGTTGTTCACTGCTGCTGGCCTTGCTCGTCGTTGGCCCACTCATCATCATGAGCCCATGGCCAGACGTGTGGGACATCGTCGACATGGTGGACCATGTTTTGCAGCTATGTATTCATCTTCCCAGGTCACACATCTCACAAATATTCCTCTTCCGGAATTGAGAATCCGTTCTTTTGCTTCTCCACGATGCTTTTCTCCCACAACCCGGCCTCGACCGTGTCCGATGACCAGTACATAGACAGAATGATCGGCCACATGGCATCAATCCCGATTTGTATAGGGTCCCGCCATCTCGTTTCAGCAAAGTTCCGATGGTCCTGGAAAGAAACTGACTGCGCCCACTGCGTGAGACCCACGACGTTCCAAGATGCTGCAACCTTCTTTTTTCATAGAATCACTGCTAGTTTGCAGACTAGATTCGTTTCCGGCAACGTGGCTCGCGGATGATCGCGCGAGTATATTCTGGCCTCCCAGTGCCGCCGGCACTTGCTCGAGAAGAAGAAGATAAGCAAGTCTTGTGCTGGTCGGTCAATATGTAGTACTTGTGGTACAAATGTGATTGGGAAATATGGCCTTCCCACTCGCCCGGGTGCCATTCCGCAGTGTACATGTGCAGGAACACGAAGCAATAACGGTTACCGTACTGTACGTATTGTAACGCACAGACGAAAGTGTCCTTGTGTCTGCGCAGACTCTTATTCCCGCCCGTTGAGATCCTGCCGAACCCTTCATCCGCTATACAGAACTCCAAGCTTGACTGTCAAGATGACTAGCCAACAGCGTCATCGTCAACATATCTGAGATTCGTTGAACCCTCATCCCCGCACGGGTCCACGCGGCTTGCCACATCCAGCCGGGTATCGACTTCTTTTTGACAGCAGTCGAAAGAATATAGAAAATCCGTCAACTATCCACCATATGGGAATCCCGGGTCCACCGCGTGTCGTATACCTCCATTGGCCAATTGCTCTTTGTACTCTGTTTGGTGGAGAAAGTTTCATACCCTTGGCAACGTTGTGATCCCCCTCCATCAGCCTGGACCGGGGGGTCTAGTCACAACAGATGATGTACTGGAAAGTCTCCAATCTTGGCACCAAAGATGACGACTCCTAGCAAGCATATTAAACTCGCAGGGATGTGGCCATCTGGTTGACTTATTCAATCTCGCTTCTGCGCTCTCTCAGATGTCAAGCAGCAGTTGTTCATCCTTCAACCTTCTTCTCGTCGTGCCCAAACATCCCGTTTCTATCTCGTGTGTTTGTTTGTTCGAGGAGATATTCGGCCCACCAGAGATGTGAACATGAATCCAATTCTTCGCAGGGACGACGACGACGACGATACCGTCGTCGCCTTTGTTAACCCCTGGGTTGAAGTCAATGCTGGATTATGGAGTCTTTTTGCCGGCGCTACCATTTTCCTGGCACTGCGCATTTGGTGCAAAGTCACCCGCCGGCACGGGCTGTGGTATGATGATTATATCCTGCTAGTCACCTGGGTAAGTCTATCTCACGCTCGATCAACACATTGTCGCGGTGCTGACACCTCATACCAGTCTGTGCTGTTGGCAAACAATACACTTATCATCTACGAGTTTGCAACTGGCTACATCCTGGAAAACTCTGCACAAAAATGGGACGACCGCATGCATATTCTGATCAACATATCCTCTTGCGGCACCCTAATTGGCCAGGCCCTGAGCAAGACTGCCTTTGCCGTAACGCTTCTGAGATTGTGCAATCGATGGCAGCAATGGATTCTCTGGTTCTGTATCTCCACCATGAATGCGTGGATGATTGTCAAAGTGGTTCTTCAATGGGCAAAGGTTTGCGGAAAAGACAGTTATGACGTCTGGTATCGCCTCGATGTATGTCTCGACTCGAAGTTTCGCGACGATTTCAAGGAGGGTGGAAATGGTATGTGATGAATTCCTCCACGAGTCTCCAAGACTTGTGCAACTAACAGCATGTCTCAGTTTATAACATCATTATGGACTTTATCTTTGCCACATTCCCCTGGTTCATCACTCGATCTCTAGAGATGCGCAGGTTGGAAAAGGTTGGACTCTGTGTTACACTGAGCTTGGGCATGGTGTAAGTCTACCGATGTCGGAATCCGCTTTTTTTTTCAAACTTCAATGTCGCTCACATTTTCAACAGAGTCGCCATTGTCGCAGCTGTGCGTGTCAGTTGGAAGGACGAGGGTAATTCGCGCGACCCATATTATATCTGTAAGCGATTCAAGACAAACGATCCATTTTGCCAAGGAGTGTTAGCTAATGAGATGCGATTACTACCAGGGCGCAACGGTCTTTCCCAAGTCTGGTATTCATCCGAGATCACCGGTACCATCATGGTCCAATGTATACCCATTCTCCGAACGATGCTCAGGGAGATCCACACATCGTTCAATTCCAAGAAGTTGACCTCATTGACGGACCGACAAAGCACCATGGCTGCGAGCAGCAAGCGCAACTCGAAGCGCAACTCGAATCGCTCATCGGGCGGCATCAAGATGGAGCTGGTACGCAAGGGATCCGATCGTATTGTTCTCAAAGAGATACCAGAGGAACCGCAGGGCATTTGGGTGCCTCCCCCGTCTTGGAAGCGGATCGATACAGTCGAGTCGCTCTCCTCGCTCGACGAGGAACACGCGCTCCCGCTGTCGCCACGGTCGCAATGGCTGGCACAGGCCAGCAGAGGAAACTCGGATAACTATGTGCCTCGGGCTGGACAAAGCCTTGACTCGGAAGCGGATGGAGGCCCGCACTCGTTCACGGGCGTGGCATACGACCATGAAGAGCATGGCCTATCACCACCACCGCAAAGGAAATCAGATCCGTGGCCTTTGAAGTGATGACATAACTCATGGTACTCTTCATTGGGAAGACCCTGGCACTGAGTGAGGCGAAGAAAGGGTATGGTTAAGATTGCCCCAACACCACGTTTACGCATATCTATCTACCTTCCGCGTCGTCTATATTTTTGACTTTCCTGTGCATACGTTTACACATGTCGAAACTCTTACACTAGCGAATCATGCCTTTAATGCGGCCGGGAACTTTAGAGGACTAGGAGTTGAGGATTCTTTGTATATGGGATAGGTTCAATAGCGGCATTGCGCATTTGAAAAAAGAGTGACGACTACAGTACAATATCAAAAAGTTAACGAATAAAGTTTAAAACATTCATCAGTCTGTACATACATGGTGCCATGATTCGAGTGGCGCGACACAATAAGTATAACAATGTTACAAGGCCATGCACATGCGCTCAAACATAATGAAAGACTCGCTCCATTTAAACTCGCCATCCCTATGGCTAGCAACGAAGCAGGCTAACCTGTGTACCAACAACAGAGTACTCAAGCATGCTTCTTCATCACAAAGTTGCGAACTTGCAAAGTTAGACTCCTGTCGCTGGTCATCTTTATTTTGCTGATAGCTTCCTTGTCATACCCCCTGTGAGCTATATTCTTGGAAGGCATTTTCTAATCTGAATTTGGCAGCAATACCGAGGGATCGATACTTGAGTCTTAAAGGGGTTACGCTACTAATTGTCGTCAAATGTGCACAGCCATTTAGACTAGTCAGGGAAATTATCAGACAATGGCCATACCGAGGTCCAATTTCCAAGCCCAAATCATATAGTTGCCCTACAAATTCGAGCACAATCCAGAGATTGGCAACATTTACATGACATGAGTGAGCAGCACAATTCATCCACAAGAACAAAAACTTCAAACATGGAGATAACAACCGACATGTCTATAAATATATACATATATACCTATTTCTGTATAGGATCAAAAAAGAAAAAAGAAATCTAGTTACTCTACACTCCCCGCCGAGATTTTTTTACAAAAGCATGACACCGGCAACGACTCCCGACAAGAGGGCAGCCATCATGGCAACGACACCAGCGTCATTGCCGCCAGTGAAACGGGGACCGGCGGCACTGTCGGAGCTGCTGGCGGCGCCGGCGGTCGAGGTGGCATAGGTGCACGTCTCGTCCGAGGCCGTGTAGGTGGCAATGAGACCGGGGTAGTTGACGTCGGCGCAGCCGAGGGAGACGAGGGCCAGGCCGGTGACCTCGGCGCCCGTGTAGTTGTAGACGGTGGCGGGCATGGTGGTGGCCGTGACGCTGACGAGGCTGCCGACCGAGACGGTGACCGAGGAGCCCAGACCGCTGGTGACGAGGTCGTCGCCGCCCGAGGGGCGGTCGGGGAGGTCCCAGTTGGCCAGGAAGGAGGACTCGGAGATGAGCGAGGCGGCGCAGCTGGTGGCGGCGGCGCTCTCGGCCGTCGAGTTGAGCTCGGTGCGGGCCGACACGTCGATGCTGGCCAGCTGCTGCTGCAGGTAGTTGTAGTCCTGGAGGAGGGTGATTTCAGTCGAGCTGTTGATGGCAATGACTCCGTATCCAGACGTCTCCTCGGAGTACTCGTAGACGAGACCACCGCTGAGCTCGGCCATCTCGTCGCCGTAGAGCACGGGCACGTTGGTAAAGGTACGGGGGCGGACGTTGTTGCAGCCGTACTCGGAGAAGAAGACGGGAATGTCGGTACCGGCAAAGTCAGTGACGAGAGTGTCGTAGCCCGACTCGGTGTAGCTGCTGTCGCCGCACCACTCGTAGTCGTTGAGACCAAAGAAGTCCATCTTGGAGTAGGTCGAGTTGTCGAGCTCGCAGCCGAGGTAGGCCCAGGTGTCAGTCAGCATGTCGGCGACATCTGCGGCGGAGTAGCCGACACCGATGCTGCGGGGTGCGTGCAGGGCAATGTACTCCTTGAGATCGCGGACAATGGCACGAATGTACATTGGGACCGACTCATCACTGTCCTCGTTGATGATCTCGTTTCCGGCGAAGAAACCCAGCAGGTTGGGGTAGTTCCAGAAGGCCTCGACGATGCTGAAGATGTGCTCCATGTAGTCCAGGGTGTAGGTGCTGGAGGGGTCGGAGCGGTCAATGTACTGGCCGTAGAGACCGCTGTTGACATCGAGCAGCATGTAGATACCAGCAGCGTTGAAGATGGAGGCACACTGGTCGTGGTCCAGATCGGCGTCCAAGTTGTAGACACGGACCGTGTTGACACCGAGCTGCTGCATCATGATGGCATCTCGCAGACAGCTGTCGGGGTCACTCAGGGGGTCGGCAGTGGAGCTGAATCCGGACGAGCCACCGGGCTGGTAAGTGATACCAATGAGGTCGAAACGCTTGGAAGTGGCATCGACGACAAAGTTGGAGCCATTGATGGAGAGATACTCGACGGCGGATGCAACGCCCGAGAGTAGTGATGTGGTGAGCAGGGCAGCGCCCTTTACAGAAAGGCGAGCCATGATGATGTGATATATATAATGTATATGAGCTGGTTGGCTCGTGTCGCGATGCCCAGAGTTTTGAAGTCTTGGAAATTGCCTAAAGTGGTATGCGGGATCTCAATGGTAGGTCTTGGCAAAGAGGGTCGATTTCCCGATGCGGGTGGTAAGCGAGTGTATAGGCTGGAAATATAATTAAAAAAAAGAGCTAGAAGGATTCAAACGGCATGCAGATGTTTCTTTTTATCAAAAAATCAAACGTCTTAACGAGCGACGGAAGAAGATTTGAGGAGTAAAAGAAGGAGAGAAAAAAAAGGTTGGGAAAGAGTAGTAGAACAAGAGCGACGTCAACACGGCCTTGGATGCAGAGAAGTATTAGAAGGGCTGGAAGAGACAGAGGAGAATCGAAAGGGGAGAGACAGACGACTTCTTGGCTCCATATTGAGGGCAAGAAGCCAATGAAGGGCATACGCAACCACTGATCAAATCCACTTTACCATAGTCGTACCTTGATTCGAGATTTGTGATGGTCGTGGTGTGGGGCAGGCTGACGAAGGCATTATCCCTCTCTGGGTATAAGAGATGGAGATGGTTGGTGGGTTCGGGGCTATGCTATTCGCGTCCTTGTCAAGCTTGTTATGCGTCCCATCTCTACTTGCTTCCACATTCCGCAAAGCCGTTCTAGTAGTAGGTAGTGCAATTGGAAAAAAAATATTATTACCACAGGAAAGCCTCGATTATCGAGATTGCTGAAAGGGGGCCGCCCGCTCGCCTGTCCGCCCTCCTTGAGAGAAAGAAATTGGCCCATGGCCTGGCACCCATAGTCGAGGCCCCAGCATCCCCCCAACTTGAGCCATAATCCAACCAGCTAGTTCCCTGTGCTTCACAGTCACACCACGAGATTCTGCACTAGGAAAGCTCGTGCTTGTCATTTGCTCAGGCTGGGTCTGCCTGTTTCAAGTTCCAACCTTGCCTACCTCACCGTTCGCATGGGGCTACCGGACACCCTCGACGATCATCGCGAATAAGGCGGAGACAGCGCCGGCCTGAAGTATCGATCGGCGCGGTTGCAAATAGTCTGCCAACACGGAAGAAAAAAAATGCCAAGCCGGGAGCGTGGATCATCAGGAAGTCGGCAGTTTTTAATATGATCTGAAATGAAAATAGATCTCATGGCCCGCCCCGACCACCAAAAACCACTGCCACACGGAATTGTCTGAATGTGAATACTAGTAGTACCAGCTTTGCGGCTTCGTAAACTTGACAGACAACCTGATGTCATCCCTTGTCGTATAATCGTAAGCGGTAATAAGAACCCTTGTCCTGTATGGAAATATTCATCAGCCTACGAACTCTGATACTTGCTGCTCGTATCAGAAAATATCCATTGAAATGGCCTTATACAGCTACTGGCTAAACTTTCCAAGTGTTTAACCTGTTCAAGAATCAGCACCTGGTCTAGAATCATCATCAACACGAGAAACGTCGTTCCTTCTAAAAGAATTGGGTGATCTCTAGCATTCAACCCGGGGACTTAACACTACAGAACTCAGCCACCCGGGGATTTAGCATCTAGCGATATTTCTATCAGACTGAACAATTTTTCTCTGGTTTCTATGCATAAGAAAAATGCTATTCCAGCAGCAGTTGAATGAGTCTCCACATACAAAACCTTGACAAGGTGAGGTGCCGTCTCAGATTGAAAATGGCCATTCAAGAACATGCCCCCCATTGCCAAGGGGTACAAATCCGGCAGCTGAGTTGGCATATTGACATCACTCTTGCGCAGCATGCAAGATATGCCGGCAGTATAAAAGGTCTGATTTGTCAAGGCAGCGACTCGGTCTGGCTTCTGGGTATTTCATATTTCATACACAGAGAGTGTGCATTGGCAAGTTGTGAATTTTGTGGCTTCATAAACATTCATTTCCATGCCCACACGCTTTTATATTTTGCCGCTTTCCGGCTCCTATTTTATCGTGCCCATAGATCCCGCGATGGGGGGTTTGAATAATACAATACAGGAGAATACATATTTATGTACACAAATCCCCTCTAGATTACAAGTGACCGCTTTTCATCATGGTCATTGCAGCTGTGTCTCTTGACAATAATTACCTGTCAGCCATCATGCTCTTAACGGCGCGGAAGTAACCCGCAGGAAACTTCTCCTTGAGCTCGTCCTTGGTCAGCCAGTTAAAGTCCTTGTATCCCAGCGGGTTGCCCGTCAGGTTGGCCTGACCGGCCATGATTCTTCCCTTGAGGAAAAAGTGCTTTTCGCCTCTCGCCTTGATCGTCGTGTCTTCGTTGAATTCAGGCTGCCTGACGTAGTGGGCCACGGGGACGCGGCCAACAAGCCAAGTGTTCATGTTAACACCAGCAGCTTGGTCAAGTACTCTCTGTGCAGCCTAGTGACAAGGAATTAGCATGAATGCAGCGTTGTGCTTCTCATCCTCCCGGTATCGCTTACCTGGTGCAAGTTCTCGTCTGTAGGCACATCGTCGGTGGGGAACGACCAGTTTCCATTGCCAGATTGCACAATCAAATATAGTGTCTGGTCCAGCTTTCGATCTAACCTCCGCACGTCGTTGGTCCTGTCTGCCTCTGTAATCCTGTCCATTGGCTTCTCCACGGGCACAATCTCGTCGGGCTTTGCCTCCTCGCCATCTTCCGTGACACGGCTCTCGGCGTCCTTGACCAGAATCTCGCGGATGCGGCCCTCGTCGCTCAAGGTACTGCCAACCAGCAACTCATCGTTCCAGGCATTTCGGCCCTTGGCAAAGTACCGACCCAGCTCCTTTGCAGCAATGCCTCCTCGCTCGTTGATCTTGATCTTCCAGTCCAGATCCGGCACCGTGTTCTCCTTGAAGAAGAGGGTATGTCTGAATTCGGTCGTCAATCGCTCGTTGAGACGTTTCTGGTAGAAAAAGAAGGCGTTTTCAAAAGGAGTCAGGTTGCGTGTGAGCAACGGTGCGCGGGACAAGATGATGCCGGACTTGATGCGGTACTCTGCTTTCCGGGAGGCAGTAAATGGTGGGTGAGGTATCGTCTCTTGAGGCTTCAAGTGGTGCGCCTCGGCCAATTGTGCAGCATCGGCTGCCGACGAGTATGGACGGAGGAATTGACTGGTTCTGCAGCTCACGCATACATTTGCTTTCCCTGTGAACTGGGTTAGATGGGGCACAGCTGTAGAGAGAGAGAGCAAACGGGCGACACGTACTCTTCAGTAGCGTAGCAGCTGCCCTGCTACCCCTACTTGATGCAGCCATGCTGTGAGAATCTCGCCGGAGCCTCTTTCCGAACGTTCGGACAGAGCAGGCAAAGCGAGGCAGGGAGGAGTTCGTGGTGCGTCAGTCTGGAGATGGCCTCTTTCCATCGAGCGGGTCGAGATGCGCGCGGCCGGCCGTGAACTTTTTTCGAAGCTTGAAGCATCCCCCTGTCCGAAATACGGCAGCCACCACAGCCACCACAGCCACAAATTCTTCAACGACGACTCAAATTTCAGCCACACTTGCTAATGACCACTACTAGTACCTCGAACAACCAACCACGAAACCAAAAATTCACCACTGACCAGTCACAGCTCCATTTTTGCTGCCACTCTGGCACGTTCCTGGCTCCAACCAGCATCACCCACTCGCTGCCCAGCGCTTCCTTCTCCTCCCCCAGTCGATTCTCCAGGGCCGTGCATTAGCTGCCGTCGTCATCCCTCAGGTCTTCTTCTCAGCTAGAGTCCCACTGCAGTTTCAATCCAGTAGAACTCGTTCTGACGGAATACCGGTCTTCTTTTAGCAAGCACCAGCACTTGTGGTGGCGCGCCAACGAACAAGCATACGCGTCACCTATCAGACAGAGCGACTCCTTACCTAGTACTACTTTTTACTTCTACTACTCACTACCACCTATCTACTACCTTGATTAGGTAGGTGAAGCTCTACCGTACACATTCGGTGCTTATGTAGAGCTGCCACCAGTTTGGCAAGAGGCGATCCTCTATCCCCCCTCTCAAAAGCGCGCACCTCTGAACGACACTTGCACACCAAATGTCCGCCCTCGATTGCGGCGACGATGCCTGTTCAGCGCCAGGCTTCGGCTCTCCGTCTACCTTTTCGACCTTTGTCTCTCTGACGCCCTTTATCCTGACCTTTGGCGGAGTCTTTGCTTTCGTTCTCAGGAAGATCTTCCCTCAGCTATCCCGCGTTCAAAACTCCCGCGATGGCGAGGACCACTTTCTACCCTCCGATGCGCCCTTGTCTCTACAGCAAGCTCATGCGGAACATGGCTCAAAATCCATCAGGAGACGAGTTGCAGCTGGCGCATTCTCGACGACTGTCGCTCTGGCCACGGTACTGGCAGAGTTGATTCTTTGCGAAATATCCAACCTCGTTAATCCGTATGCCCGAATGACGGCTCTCAAGATTACCGTCCCATCCCTGCTATTCTTTCTGATCGTGGTCATACCGTTTCTCGAACTCCAGTCCTTGATCACTGGCTCGGGATGGAGTTTTCAAAAGACATCAAAGGGTCGCCTCCCTAGAACAGCTTGGATTTTGCAATTCGCCGTATTTGGGCTCTGGCTTTGCGCCTTTTGGTCTCTTGGAAGTCTGGTACCTGTGGGCAGTGAATTCATGCATTCAACTGCCTCAATGCGAGAATCCCCCGAGAGTTCAGGTGGACTCGCTCGGGCCTGTCTCGAGCGCATTGGTGTTATTGGTATCTCACTTATGGCTCTCCTTTCTGGCTTTGCCTCTGTTTCTTCTCCATGGCAAACGTTTGGCAGCAAAAACTCGCGCAAACCAGTGACGGATGCCGACATTGCCCGCAAACAGGCCGGACTAGATGCCACAAATGAAATGCTGCTTACCAAACGCCATCGCTTGCAGACATTGCAGCGCAAAGTCGCGGCCGACACCACATCTGCTCAGAATTCAGGATTCCTGACCAAGGTTGTGGGTTCTTTCCGTGGTTCAGGAGACGCGGCGGAAATTCGTGGCTTGAAATTGGAAATCTCTGGCCTTGAAGCAATGGAGGCGAATTTGTCAACTACACTTTCCCAATTACGCTCCCGGCAGGCTGATTCGGCACGAGCAGCCACTCCACTGGGTAAAGTACTCCTCGTCCCTACATATGCGTTCAGTCTCTACTGCATGTACCGTATCGGCGCAACTGTTCTCACCACGCTACGGCGATTTTATTCTCCGTCCGCGTCCTTTTCCTCGTCCGATCCCATCAATCGCTTTCTTGGCCTGATTGCCAAGCACTGGGATCCCAAGCTGGACCAGATTGCCTGGGCGCGCCAGATTTCGTTCCTCCTTTCCGGTGTCATCTTGGCGGCAAGCGCCAACTCGGCATTGCAGACCTTTCACCTGTTTGCCAAGTGGACGCCAGGTCTGTTGTACCAGGCACAGGCCAATCTCGCTCTCCTCATCGGACAGATTAGTGCTATTTACGTGATCTCTGCTGCACTATTACTACGCAGCAATCTGCCCAAGGAGGTCGGCAGCGTAGTCGGTGATGTCTTGGAGAGTGCACTGGAACCAGGATTTGTCGACAGATGGTTTGAAGGCTGGTTCCTCCTTGCCAGTCTCATCACAGCGTGCGGAATTTGGATAGGCAGAAAGATTGGCGAGTTGGGCGAGGACTGGGACGATATAAGTATGGAAGAGATGGGCCAAAAGCGATCATGAGTCTTTACTCTTGGATATAGATTGACATTGTAGTCCACTCGAGATGACCTTATCCGGGGGCTTCTTGTATGTATACCTATGCTCGTAAATACCACGAGAAATACCAAATTATCAGACAAAACAACTGACTGCAGCATGTGACGCGGAATGTGATTAACCAAGTGGTCTACACGGATCCTGAGAAGATGCAAATACACCGTTCGGCATCGAACCAGAGGCTGTGAATAGCTCGTGCTAAAAACTTGAGTGGTGACAAAAGCGACTGTGATTATTACTAGCAAGCACTTGAGACTCGCTTAGAGATACATTACGGAGCAAGGCCACCGCTACATGGAGTCTTGGCTGTGCACTGCATTACTGCCTAAGAGCTTTAAAAAAAAATGTAGACGCAAGGCAGAAAACTGCTGTGTTGGCAGGCCGGGCCCATAATGAGTGGGTATCTCATGTTGACCGCGAGAGTCTTTCTACCTTGGCCAAGCTCGTGCAAGGATGAAGTAGAAGAGTACGGATGTTGATTTTCTCTCAAACATGTGCTTACAGTCGACATTTGCTATTCACCTTCTCCCGCTTGGACTGGAGTAAATTGGTCGCAAAACCCCCATGCTGCCCTATCAATACAGCCCCATCACTGCTGAAGAGCATGGCTTCCGTCTGCTTCGACTTCATCCAGCAACAACGCCGCACATTGAGATTGACATTATTCATGCATCGTTGAAAGAGGCCAAAATAAGACTGTACGAGGCGGTCTCTTATGTCTGGGGTTCATCACAACTCGTCAGCTCAGTCTATGTCCAAGGGTCGTATTTAAATGTCACCAACAACCTGGAATTGGTTCTGCGGGATCTGCGATACCCTCATGATGAGCGGTGGCTCTGGATCGACGGTATCTGCATCAACCAGAATGATCAACACGACCATGAAAAGAAGGAGAAGAACCATCAAGTCAAGCAAATGGCAAGAATCTACAGCAAGGCAACCAGAGTATTAGTTCATCTTGGTCGCCCAACGAGTCTGACTCCTGTATTAAGGGATACCCTTGTTGAACTGGAAGAGCTGGAAGTGCTAAGTGATCTGCAAGGTGATGAACTCACCGAGTCAGATGCACGAACCGTGTGGCAGCGGGTATCTCGCATCCTTGGCGAGTCATACGTTGACTTCCAATATAGGATCAGGCAGGCCGTTGAAGAAGTTCTCGGGCATCCGTGGTTCACACGAATTTGGGTCGTTCAAGAAATCGCTTATGCTCGCGAGGCTCGCGTCTACTGGGGCACCGAAGGACTCTCGGTGCCTTGGTTCGTGGCTCTAGTTCAGATACTCGACATCAAGAGGAATGGGCACCAGGACGCTCTTCTAAACATGATGCCTCGGCGCTACCGGCGGACGTCTCCTTTTGGCTCTAGCCAAGATCTTCTTCACCTGCTTCAGTCGTTTAAGGGAGCACAAGCATCAAACAGCCACGACAGGATCTTCGCCCTACTGAATATGTGCGAGCACGGCAAAGGTCAGGGAAGCATTGTTCAGGACTATTCTCGACCTCTACAATCTGTTGTTCGCGAGTCCATTGCCTACATGTGTTTTTGCGACAAGGATGATGTCCCGCCAGAACTCGAAAGAATGGACCGCCTCATGGACGGAATCGACTTCTTATTAAACGATCTCCTTGTCCACTTTGCAAGGCATTCACGGTTGAAGAGTTTAAGATCATTGTTATCAAATCGAATGGATGAGACGATTATCTCGTTCGAGATACTCGAGAGCGCATTCAAACATATCGTTAACAAGGAAGTCATTGATATTCTACTCGATCATCATCCTGATGCGTCTGCCATCATACCAGAGGTGATTCAAATCGCAATCAAGCATGGCGCGGACAAGGAAATTATTATCCACTTATTCGACTACGCGCCCAACACAGCCTTTATTACACCGGAAATAATTGAGACCGCAGCCATGGAAGAGGTGCATGAAGATGTTTTTCGTCTCTTGTTCGATCACCTATCTGATACGATTGCTCTTCCCGAGAAGACAAATAAAGGCGCTGCCGAGACCCCGCTCGGTACAGCAAGTACCGATGCTGTGATCGATAACCTGTCTGATACATCTTCTGTTCAGGATGAGACACATAAAAGCGCTGACGAGACCCCGCTGGGTACAGAAGTTGACGATGCTTTATTCAATCATCGCTTTGATTCAGCTTTCGCTACACCAGAGATCAAGGAGAGCGAAATCAACAGTGGGATTAGCCAAGATGTCATTGGTATTTCACTCGACCACCAGCCCAGTACAGGCGTCATAAGTGACTGGGCCAAGGCTTCGGCCCAAGCATTATCGCAACAGAGACATGATGTGGCTGAGCTCGTAGCTTCGCAGTGTGCAGAGAAATTTCCACGCCTCGCAAAATGGATTCGAGCGGAAATAGACATGGCAAAGATAGGTGGGTATGGAAATCGCCGCTGGCTGGCCCCATTGTGGCTCGCGCTGCTTCACGGCGACGTTGATGATGTACAACAGCTTCTCAAAGGAGGCGCCGACGTGAATGGCCGAGGGTACCAGGGTTTGACGCCCCTGCAGTGGGCGGCAGCTGATGGCAAGGTGGACGTTGTCAACGTTTTGCTTTCACATGATGCAGATATTAATGCCAGGACGACGCGAACGTCCATCAGGGCTGGAGAACTAGCTGAAAAATACGAAGTCCGGATTATATCCGATTGTGGTGGCAGCATTGAGACTCTGGACTTTTCCAAAAAGACAGCTTTGGCGTTGGCTGCGCAGTTTGGAAGAGAGCAAGTTGTTCAGGTTTTACTTGACTGCCACGCCGATATCGAGGCTCGAGACTTTTTGGGGCGGACACCATTGGGACTCGCTGTAGAACGCGGGAGACGGAATGTTGTTCAAATCTTGCTTGATCATGGGGCCAACGTTGAGGCTCGAGATCGGTTTGGCCGGACGCCCCTTTCCATGGCTGCCAGTGGAGGCTTTGATCGCGTCCTGTCGCTGGGCAATTCAAAGAGAGGACAGGATATCGTCAAACACCATATGGAAGGCCAATTTAGGAAGATGATGAGACACCGGATAGATATGGAGCTCTTGAATATTGAGAGTGATCCCAGATCTAGCCTCATTACACCAATCGATCAAGTGTACTCGGATCTGGTCATTTTGCTGCTGAAGCATGGTGCCAATGCCAGTGCCGCCGATCAACTTGGTCGGACCCCGTTGTGGTGGGCAGTCAATCGTGGCCATCAATGTGCAGTCGAACGGCTCCTCGATACAGGAGTCAATGAGAACCACACTCACGTTGGCGGTATGTCGTTGTTATCGTGGTCAATCTGGAACAATTTCCCCAGCATCACGCTCCAATTAATGGAAAGCAACAGCAGCGATATCTTTTCGATAAACGATGCCTTGCAGTGGGCAGTTCGGGCTGACAGCACATCCCTACTGAGGGCACTACTCGAAAAGCGAGCCGTGATTGATGCTCCGCTGGGCTTGGGCCAGTCACTGATTCTGATGACTGTTGCAGAAGACAATGCTGCCGCGAAACAAGTCTTACTTGACCATCCTGCGATTTTTGCCAGTTCTTACTAAAAAAGATTGGAAGTACTTCTACTAGTAATCGTCAAAGTAAAGATAGTCCTTTGGAAACCCTTTGAAGGCAAGACTGGTGGCAATCCGATTGCTCCGCTAGGAGAAAGCTCCGTCATTGGATCAAGAGTCGTCAATCCAGGACGAGACTGAAGAGGTTTATTAGATTGATCCGTATACTCAGGGGTCGAAAGTAATCTTGTTTCAAAGTGTGGAAAGACTTCTTGAAAGTTCGCCAGCAGTGACCGGGTCATTCCAGACCTTGATGATAATTTTCCTTGGGTATGAATTTTGACTGAGGACCATTATGCTGCGATGCAGTAATATAATACAATAAAACCCCGTCTTATCTTTGTTACCCGGCGTACCCTTTTTGTGCCCGTCAATATTGTTAAAAGCTTTTTCTACACTTTTGAAAAATAAAATATGATGACTTTTGGTCACGATACACACCTAAGAATGGGACTTGGCTACATGCATGGGTATGTTCTGTGTATTAGCAAATCTACAAACGCATATTTCATCATCGGAAATCAGTACCGAGACTGTGAAATAGGCTTCTGACTCAATCGTAAGTATTTGAATGGTGACGATGATGCTGTGGTCATTACTAATAGAACTGACTCTAGGTAGATTACAGACAGGATACAGGATACCATAGTGTGATAAAATCTGAGAATTGAAATCAAGATATACTCCGTGATTCTCAAGGTCAAATTTAACCGTAACTAGGAGAAAAAAATGATAGAAGAAAGAGATTTATTCTATATCTAGCAGCCCTTTGAGGCTGTACATATGAAGCCGTGTCTATCAGGTATTCTGTGGCCTATCAATTAGATGTGAGTGTTCGATCTCCTCGATCGGGCCTAAAATTGCAGTGAATAATTTTTTTTATACATAGCAGTTAACACAGGGTTGTTCTGTCCAATTGGAGAGAACAGCAATACACCCTCTCTCATCCTTATTTCACTGCAATTTTAACCCCGACCAAGGAGATCGAAATATCTCCTTCAGGTCGACCGCAGGACACAGCCTACTGTTTGGAAGAATTACAGCAGCCCCCAAATGGCCGTTGAGCCCTGCAATGCAACACATGCATTCACCTATTGGTCGGCAATGTTCCACCAGATCTCCTTTGCGTGGGTTAAAAATGCAGTGCAATGATCCGTGATCTGCCAAATGTGCCTGTTATCTTAACCACATCTTAATTTGGTACCTCAGGTATCAATTTCCTCGGCAGGACGCACTGGAAGAGTGTGTAGGCAACCATCCAATGTTTGATTAGGATGACTATCATGATAAAATCTTCTCACTTTCAGGGAGGGCAGCATATCGGATCACCGCGTATCTGTGTGTATGCTTTTTGCCAGCACAAATTGACGCGGCAAGATCGCACCAAGGGCATGAAAGAATGAATCTAGACATTTGGACCCGGAAGTCAAGGGTCTTCTGGACTGAGTCGAACTCTTCTGTCACAAAGACGAGTTGGAAAAAATAATAGATTAGAGGCGGGCAAGGCAATTTTGTAAACATGAGACCTGAAAGGACTGTAAAACGGAAGAAGAAATTTGGCACCTGCAGTTTCCGTGGGATTGCAGAACTGTCTCCGTATATCATTATTCACTGTCGGGTTTTTATATTCTCGAATTGGATACAAGACTTGGTTTTTGTATGATTTGATCAACTTCGTGTATTATCTTTTTGCTAGGGCTTGACATCGATACTTTTGAATCTGTGGCAATGAGGTTGATTAATTGCATTGTACATTTCCCATCTCAATGCACTCGCAACATTATTCATTGTCGGTCATTTCCAGTCAAATTGCCCTGCCCCATCGTAGCTATCTTTATGAATTTTAAATTCTTGTCATTAGGTATCGGGCGATCAGGAACTCTGTGTAATGCTCGACATTGGTAAATTCGCGGTGATATTTATATATATTAGACCGAGAACTCAGCTGTTCAGACACGACAGATTGCTAGCTTCTCCTTTTGCCAGCTCGACTCTAATAATGCCATCAATCAGAGTCGCCTTGGAACTCGTGGTGTTGCCATCAGACCATACAATTTCTCCATTGATGACAAAATCACGACTTCCCAGGCCTTCCAACAGAACCTCAACTACTCCACCTGTGCTCGATGGTGCCTCGACACAGATATCGTAGCTATCATCATCCAGTGTCCATTGCACACTGATCGGGCCATCCGGCGTCGGAATCACACCCTTCGCCCAGCTCAGATCTCCCACATTAGGCTTCAAACTCCAGCTCTCAAAGCCGGGCTCGGTTGGCTTGACTCCCAAAACATAATTGCTCAAAAGAGGCACAATGCCTGTACTCCATCCATGCGCCATACTCGTGAAAGCATCCTCATATGGTTCACCATTGGTGCCGATACCTTCCCAAAACGTAATCTCCGGGTCGTGAGCAGCCATCCAACCGTGCATGCGGCGAAGCTGTTCCAGTGCCGAAGTCGCCTGTCCGGCTTGGAAACGTGCTGCAATCTCAAAGTAGGAGATGAAAGCGTACACACGCTGCGAGCATTCATCGCAGCTATCGAGATTATCGCCTCCGGCATCATAGAAGGAATTTCCATATGGATACGAATTCGCGGACGATAGATAGGACAGAAGTGATGTAGCCGCGCTGGAGTTGGCGGCTATGATGCCAGACAGGATGGCCAGGCTGTTGCCATCTTGCGCGTGTGCACTACAGCCCTCATCCGAGCAACTGCGATCGAAAAATGCGTTCACTGACGGGTCCCAGAGTACATCAACGAACGACTGCGCGACCACCTTGGCTCTCTGTCGCCAGTTTTCTGCGTCGGCATCTTGATCGACTATCGTGGCTAGATCAGCAGCTCTCTCAAGAGCTAGGACGTACAAGGCACTATAATAAGCTGCCGATCCAGGGCGCTGGAGGAAAGCGTAATCACCGTAACCGTCAGGCCGTAGAAGTAGTGAAGTACTGTTGTCCGTATTAAGAGGATAGTAGTTATCCAAAAGAACCTTCATGTTCCCGTAGTAGGATTCCAGGTATGTGAGATTCCCGATATAATACACGTGCTCCCAACTACACGAAACCCACCAGAGTGGATAGTCGAAGAGAGGGAGTTCGTAATTACGACTAGTGAAATCAGCTTGAGTCTCACAAAGACATCATCCAAGGAATTGATCACAAGGACAACTCACATACTAGCGGGTGGAATCCACCCATCACTACGTTGGTGCTGAACCAGGTCTTCCATGACATTTCGTGCAGCTTCAAAGATATCGTGTGTCAGATAGCTAGTGAGAGCAGATACAGCCAGGTCGCCCATATAGGGGTCGCGATCTCTCTTGGGTCCATCATGAATAACGAGCTTGTCGAGCAGCGAAGGGCTTGTCGCATCACGAGGTTCGGTGTCATTAGCCCGGAACACGTCAGTGTTCATTTCTGTCGTGTAGGCGCCGTCGAACCACCACTGCGTAAGCTGCTCGTCCGAGCATTCGAACCATCCCGTAAAGGTGTCTGGTGTTCCCAAGTACCCCGACCATTGCAATTGGATAGAGGTTATTGCGACAACACCCTCCGAGGTTGTGTAAGGTGAATCGCTAGCCAGCGCATCAAGTTCAATCTTCAAATATCGAAAGCCATGCAGCCCATCGGAGCATACTTGGTTGTCATGTTGGCAGCCCCATTGATCCAGCCATGTGTACGCTCCAGATTGAACAGCAATCTAGCAAGATATCAGCAAACATACTCCTGCCATCCAAATATACCATTCAAACCATAGTATCAATGTCCCAAAGTGCGAATTCAGAATGACACACCTGATCTGTTCCATTGGTGATCTTTTCATCCTGCACAACAATTCAGCATCAGACATCCACGCCCAACCCAGATCAACTTACCCCATCCGCATTATCAGACCTCGTAAAGTCGCTCCGATTCGTCAAAAACTGCAGCGTCTCCGAGAAGCTCATCTTGAGCCCCGGGCGCCCCAACTCCGAATAGCTCTCGGACCCAGCAAACTCAATCTCCAGGAGCCCGACGACATTTTGTCCAAAGTCGATCACGACGGTCGGGACCTCACTCGATCCGCTCGCGCGCGTGAGATATGCCGCGTCCCCTCCGTCGCCGACCAGGGCGTTTGCATTGGTCACGTTTCCTGCGGTATACTGCGACAGGACCTCCTTTGGCCCCACGGCCCGGCTTGCCGGGGCCCTGACGTACTGATGCCAACTCGGCGCATCCTCGCGGGTCTGCACGGCGTCCGAGACGAGCAGAGCGGCCGGAAGGAGGCCGTGGACATAGGCCCAATACACTAGGAAACGGACGGGCGTGAGCATAATCACCTTTTCCGCCTTATGCGAGTCGAAAGCCAATGAATCAAACTTCGAAAGGAAAAAAAAGAGAGGGAGGGAACAAGTATGGGAAATTGCTTACCTGGAAACAAAAGCAGGAAGATTACCCAAAGAAGCTTGTCCTGGGCATTTCTAAAAAAGGGCAACAGGGATGGAGATGACGGTGCTGTGCAGATCGGCGCGGCCGCTGCTCGTGTGACTCTGATACCCTTTCCATGCTCAACTGGCACAAGTTCTTCGTCTCCTTCTGCCTTTTCGCTTGCATTATTAATGACATGGTACATACTTGGCGGGGAATGCAGCATCGCCTTTTTCGTTCCAAGCGGGGTGCTGCTGCTGCTGCTGCTGCTTCTGCTCACAGTAGTAGTAGTAGTGATCGATGTCTTGTCGACCCAAGAGTGGCTGTGCTTGCTCCCGGGAATATACTTGCCAAAGCTTTGCCTCGAGTGCTTATTGCCCCGCAATCTCCCGTAATGCCACTTGATCATCACAAGGTAAGGGCAAGCGGGGGACTGCAAGTCTTTGGGTTGATTGGTGTTGATTGGTGGATGATGAGGTTCGATTGCTTGAACAGGAAATCAATTGGTCTATACAATGTCTTATGCAGCTCTTTCCGACCAAGCGCGTGTCTGCCCATGCAACTGACCAGCCACAGACTGGAATCTGCGAATAAGAGAATGAGGTGGCTGGTTCAGTGTGCAATGCATGTGGCACGTGGTATCTCGAAGCCAACCCGCGTTGCTTTTTATCTCCCAGGTCGCGTCACTATCATGTCTTGTGCATACCGAGGATGCATTTGAGGGCGACTTTTCACTCCTGAGAATAGAACAAGCAAGTAGACAAACACACATTCAAGCGTGGACAAACAAGACAAGATCATTTTTCTGTGAAAGGCAAATTGGCCGACACAAACACCAAACCCGTTTGAAATTATGCTTCCTCTAGAAATTTTGTTGGATATGCTGCCTATTACTGGATTCCTGCTTCGGAAGTCCGTCTAATCGAGAAAACGCCACTGGGAAAATCAATGCACTTGCTGACCAAAACCAAACATGGACCAAGCCCATGGCCGCTATGAACTAACTTTTGACAATAACATCAAAGCACTGTAGCTTAGTATAATACCGAGCAATGCATTGTTTCTGAGCTATCACTGCTCATTACACAACCTATTGAGCATTTGCGAGCCTCTTGGACATACTATCATGACAGGTTAGCATCAACAGATTTTTTCCAATGCTTTACACTGAGAAACTTACAAGTCAAAGAAGGCGAATTGACTTGGCGCACTGCCAAACTCATACACAAAACGAGAGGCGAGGTAGCTGCCAAAAATGGCACGAAGGTATGCATCTGGGACTCGCGAGATGATGGTATCGAGGCCAATCTTCTGGATCAGCAGATTGGGCAGCGCGTCCGCCAATACTGTTCGCCGGATTCTCTCATCCTTCCACAGATCCGATTGCTGAAGCTCTTCGTCTAGCTTGGTGATTGCTTCAGAAAGCTTGTCAGACAGAATGGAACGGGGAATGCCGGTCTGCTCATGCTCGCGCCAGATGGCTTCGAATTCTAGCCTGGCATTGTCGCAGATCTTGGCCTGAACCGACTTGACGTAAGCCTGGTAGAACTCGGGGGCCTGGCCGTACTTGTCATGACACATGTTGGCGACGAAGCCCTCATCGTCAAAGCTCAGAGATGCGAGGACCTCGAGCGATGATGAAGTCACACCACCCTTGTTGGCAGAAGCATCCTTGTACAGGATGCAACCGGCGGCCTCAAGTCGCAGCTTCGCGTCTTGCGTGATGAACAAGTTGGCACCTTCTACAATGTATGGGATCTTGGACTTGCCATCTTCAATCAACTTGCCAACGGTAACAAGATCGATAGACTCGGGCCGGCCACCGCAAGGGACAAATGTGTCAGTCAGTCCAGTGTCCCGCAGATGGAAGGTGTTGCGGAATGCAGTGCCGTTGGCTACAACCTCTCCTGTAGGCAGCTTAACATTGACGTCGTCGCACAGCACACGGTAACCGTCCTTGGACAGTTTGGAAATGTCAAAGTGAGAGATCATGACTCGGCTCTTGGCAAGGCGCAAGAGTTCCTCCTTGTCGAGACCGTTGGGATCCACGAGTACACCAGCTCCATCAATGATGGCAGTGTACTTCTCGTTGCTGAGCAAGATCTCATTGCTTCCCAGATCGCCGTCCGGTCCACCCGTCTGCATCTTCCTAACTGTCGATGGGTCCAAGTTCTTCTTGCGGTAGATCCCCTTGACGTATTCACGAACGGAAAGTGTGGTCATTCCGTAAGTATCGTGGGGAATTCCACCGAGCTTGGGGGATTTTCCGGTAAAGAAAGACTTCCACCAAGGTGCACCGCGAGAGCGGGCATGCTCGGTTGCCCAGTTCACGAGATCGGCAGTGTTCTCATCCGGTCCCATGAAGAGAATCTCCTGCCTTCCGTACAGATCGACAATGGGGTTCTTGATGCCGGGTGTCTCGGCCGGCAAAAGAAGGTCCATGATACTGTCAATGTACTTCTCAAATGCCTCTCTGCCCTTGTCCTGTTGCTTAGGGTCCAGCAGAATGACACCCTTGGAACCGCCTTCGGGTATATCCTTGTTCTTGCGCTGCTGGGTGCTGGCGAGGCCGTAGTTCTCATCAAAGAGGTTACGAGCATTGATAGAGTATGCTTCCTTTGATCGAGACTTTACGATTCGAATTCCACCACGGGCGACATCTCTGAAACGCAGGTGGAACCCACGAGCTTCAGAGCTGATGACCAGGAACATACCATAGAGGCGCTTGGGATATTCAATCTCGGGCAGGAACACTGGGTCAAGTCTGAAGCTGAGGGCGACCTTGGTGGGAGTGAAATAGTTCGTCTTCAGAATGGCATTGTTGAAGACTCTGAAAGATGTCATGACCATCTCTTCGTGCTCATTGGACACTTCCCGAGAGATCTTCTCCTTCAGATTGGCGTCAGACAGAACTTCGACAGCCGGCGTCGGGGCAATCGTCTCCCGTTCATAGTCTGTTCCCACGCTGAGATGCACGCTCGCGAACGAAGCGTAGAGAGCACGGACGAGGCCGGGGTAGGCCAAGATGATCTCAAGAATGTAGTCTGGGGTGAATGTCTCGGTACGCAGGCGGCGTTTCAATTTGGAGAGGATCTCATTGTGAAGACTGTTGCTTGGGTTCAGAGCCTCTTGGAGTGTGGCGTACTCAGTACCCAATCTGTTCAAGAAGTGCTGGACAAACACCCAGACGGAGTGGCCATAGATGGCCTCCTGAAGGCTCAGCTCGCCCGATGCGAACAGAGTGTGAAGCTTGTTCTGGGGGATACAGTAAAGTAGCGAAATCTCCTTGGTTATCTGATGGATGGACTGTTCAATCGGAGGGAATTTGCCACTCTCGTTGGGCGCAGGCTTCAGGTAGATACAGATAACAGTGATGCCGTTGGAGAACTGTTCCACGTACTTTCTGGTGCTAGTAACACCATAGTAGTGGTATAGATCGCTTAGAGCGCTGAACATGCCTCTAGCAGTACGCGATCGGAACGCAACAATAAGTCTCTTCTCTTGCGAATCCTCAATGTCAAAAACCTCAATCACCGGGCCAGTACGGCTCACGGCAAGCGAAATGATGTCTCCGTAAAGCTGCTTGGTGTTGTTTGTCGCCTTGGTCAGGAACATCCGATCGCTGATCACTTCCAGGCGTGTCTCATCGGGAGATGGGTTAGGATCCACAAACTGACACTGGTACACGAAATAGCACCTGAGAGATGCTTTCGACTGGTCGTCGCCAGAAATTGTGCCAGGAGACCGGAATGTCTCGACGCGAAAACGTCTGGTGCCGACATGATCGAGATACTTGGCTTCGAGCCGAGTCTCGTACCTGGGACCACCGAGTGCGGTCTTGCCCGGCTCACTGGTGTCAATGTAGATGGCATGGTCTGCAGCCTCCATGTCCAGACGGATGGCCTCTTGTTGGTTGGCACGGCTGCGTGCTGCCACCTTGGCGGCGTAGAGTGAGGTGATGTGTGTCGCAATGACATCGACGGTTTCCAGCTGGAAGTAGACATCGTCGATACCCAAGGAGTTGTAGAACCATTCAATCTGTTCATCGACATGCGAGTCGGGAATCCAGCCACTTTCGACCAGAATTGCCCTCACTAGGATACGTTAGAAGGACGTCCGTGGGATGACGGAAAATGCAGCCTACCCTGTTTCATCTGTTCTACTTTGCCCTCGAACTCTGGTGCAATATAGCCGACTGTGGCCTTACGCAAAATTCGGTGACCATTGCCATTCAGCTTCTGAGGGACTGAGAAATGTGTTGGCTGAGGCGACGGCTGGCGACTGGGCTCATCCGAGACCCTTGTCACCAGCTTGTTGACAACGCCGTTGGTAGCCATGGTGGAATCGACTGGATCTAGAAAATCTGTATAATCGGGGAATTTGGCTAAAGGTAAATCAGTCGTCTGGAGAGTCAACATAATGACAAGATGAAAATAAAAATATGAGATGGCGAAATGTGATGGCCACGTCTTGAACCGCGTGGCGGCTCACGTAAGGGGGTATAAGTGTGCAATAGGAACTGCTCAAAAGACTTGAGAAAAAGTTGTCAGATCTTGGCTGTCCACGAGGACATGTATCTTTCTCGAGACAGATCAAGCCTTTTCAGATATACTGAGCAATGCTTCCATTTTTGCAGGCGAGAACATGTGCAGTTTTATGATCAGAATGCTGTGTACTCGATATCTGACGCTCGGATTCATCAACCAGCGACGATACATCATTGGACAATGATCAGCGGCGGTTTCACCGCAGGCCAATGTGTACTCAACATCGGTTTTCGCGATAAGCCAGAACCAATGAGGTTACATTCCATGAACGCTGGGTTCCCATATCACTTCGTATTTTAATCCGGAGAGGAAACAAGGCTTTCCTCACCGCTGCATAGGGGTTGTGCTTGTGGTGTCTGATAAGGGGAACCAAAAATAAAGAACCTGGAACTTAACAGGGCGAACGAACATACCTGGACGCAGAAACTGAGTCGGGGCCTCAGACTAGTGTGAACGTTGGGATGTTTGATTCTGTTCTGGCCCAAACAAAACAACAAAATGCTCTTCGACCAATTTCGAAAGGAAACAATGCAAAACAATGATAGTTTTGCTGTCAAACTCTTTGCGAGTCACGGAGTCGAAACAAGCTTTCCTGCTGTACAAGGTCGAGGTTAAGACTTGTCGCAGCAAGTACGGTAGAAGTGAGGATGACCCGGGAAGTTGGGTGAATGCTTGGCAGTGGACGGTGGGACAGAGACTATTAGGGGGGGCGCAATAGAGCGGATAGGTAGGTAGGTAATAAGTTGGTGAATTGAATTACAGGGTCCAAGACGCCCCGAACTCAAGTTTTATAGGGTGAACAGGATTTCAATGATAAGAGTGTCTCATCCAGGAACTAACAAAAGTCTGGACTTTTTAAGACAATACGAGCGAGATGGTAACAATTGGGTGCTACTGGGGGGATGTCGAGAGAATGCTGTCAGCTTCTTACTTGGTAGGAGTTGGACGATAAGCACAGCCCAGAAAGCTTGGACTATGGGCCGGGATATGGTAGGTTGAGAAGGAAGCGGGAGACGACGATGACGAAGATAGATGGTGATGATGACAACCAAGTCAAATCGGCGGAACAAGAGATAAGGGGCAAGTTTTCAATAACTTTTAGGAATGGCGAGGTACAAGAGGAAGAAGGTAGGTTTCGCCCCACGCCATGAAACTCCTGTATGTTGTTGTGTCTTGACTGGACGGCGGTCTGCTCAAAAGCATATATTAATGTAGTTTCCCGGCGCAGCGTTCATGGAAGTCACGACCTTTATATATGTTTTGCGAGGAAGAGAGTTGATCAATGGGATGGATGGACCTGAGACCCAATGAATGTATCCACGATGACACAGACCTGAGGAGCAGCAGCACGAGGAGAGCCAATGCTGACCAGACTATACGGGACTTTCGCCTAGACTGGGAGCACCTCATTGTCGTAAAAAATTCTGTCAAAAGCATGATACCCTTCTTTCCATCACGATCATGGAGCTACCGCCAATCCAATCCAGTTCAGTTCAGTCCAGTCCAGTCCCATGCGGGCCCGGGGAATCAATACCTGAATACTTGGTGACTTTGGTTACATTGGATCCCTGCCCTGCGCAATCGATACTCGAGGTACCTGAACATCATCTAGTACATTGTAGTAGGTTACCGCTGCCCGCCTCTACTCCACAAGTACATTGTCGCGGGGCGCTGAGGCGATTGGTCGTGTACCTGAGCAGCGCAGGGCCCGTCACATGAACCGGCGGGCGCAACGAAGTACCTAAGCTGTGGGCTGAGCTGGTGGATGGTTGGGCTAGTGTACCCAAAACAAAATGGACATCCATTTGGGCGCTGCTTTAAGTCTCAAACGGCAAGAGGCTTACAAAAAAAGGGTGTCATAAATCTGGTGATGAATGCGAGAGAATTGCAGAGATCAATCAATTGGCGGCTATGCTCGGGGACCCGGTTCTCGAAGCTGTCTTGGCCTGTCGACCCAAGATCCACCCACTAAATCGGGGCCTGCTGCTGCCCTATAGGCAAGACAGGCATCTGGTCAATGGGGGTCATGGGCTGGAGTCCACTGGCCAGCCAGGTGGGTTAGTTGTTTCTTTCAGGTACCTCACAGGCTCTGGTTACAATGTACCTCCTCCCCTTCTGCCGCAATTGATCAATTCTCTTTCCCTTGTGGAACCCGAGCCCGATGTCCATAATCATGCAGGTCTCTGTTTCGTGATCTGCTCTTCTAGAAGTCTCGCTCGCCGTCTCCAGAAGTAGAAACCTCGGGTAGCATCGCCCACGCATGCCATTGTGCTCTTGTGTTATTGTTTCTTGGTTCCTCTTGTGAGCGTGAAAGATAAGGATCTCTCGGCAAAGCAGAATAGAGCAGGAAAAGAAAGAAAAGCAAATAAAATACTCGAATGGGATGGATGATTGATACCCACCATGGGGGAAAGGCACGAGTAAACTATGGCGCCCTTTCTTTCGGTCTCATGCATGACTACACCTGGGACGCAAAAAGACGATAGATAATGTAAATTGAGATGTATATATGAATGTATGTAGGTAGGTATTGGTGTATGTAGGTAACTTGCCAGATTAGTTACGTATGGAGGTACCTGACTGGACATGGAGCACTGCAATTGATCTTGCCCAGTTTTGGACTTGGACCTGCACCTCGACCCCCTTTAGACTTCCCAGGGAGAGAGAAAAAAAATTGATTTGCGCTCCTGCTGCTTTCCTGCTTTACTTACCGCTTCTTCTTTTTTTCCTTTTTTTTTTCCACGTTCGTCGAGTCAGAGATCGGATTTGATGGATGCCGAAGCTTTGTCCAACTCTGTTATCTAAGAGCAAGTCGGCTGACTGGCCAACATTGGGAGGGGGAGAGATGCAACGGCACTTTTCCCAGTTGTCATTCGCAGCAAGTTACGTACCGACAAGACAGGGAAGTCGAGGCAACATACTTGGTGATACTCGAAGTTGTACGTAAATCTACGTAAATCAAGACACGTCCAGCGTCAACTCTTCATTCCCGGCGCTGCGAATCTGCGACACGGAGGGGAGCTTGAGCTGAAGGCTGACCTTTAGCGACCCCACAATGCCCCGCGATTTGCGATTTGCATCTTCCCATCGGGTCCGGAGACTCGAGCACGTTATAGACCGACCTCAATTCTCTTACCCCCATTTTACTTAATCGTGCAGTGCAATTACCAAAACTCACAGCCCACGAGGTCTGTTGGTTTGACGCCAGACGGCCTCGACGGCCTCAAAGGGCAACTTTGGGACGATTGCTGACGGCTTCAATGCCGGCATGCTTGCTTTGGCTTTTTCTCTTACGAAACACTGGAACCTATTGACAGCACATTTCCCGCTGCCAAACATTCCAAGTGGTCGAGCTGGGCCGCCAGGAGGTCCAAGAACACGTCACGAGTCTTGTCGAATATCTCAACAAGATTGCGCGAGCCCGTACTGGCAACCTGCAACCCCAGAAAGAAATAATGGCTTCCGAACTCGTGACTTGGGTAGTGCTGAAGCTAATGAAGAAAAAGCTGTACCCCGGATTCCGGGGGTTGGTTCCGTGACACATAGGAACAGATCCGACACTCGCTCAAACTCCTATCCTTAGCTGAGAAAAACCTGGGGGAGGATTCTAGAATCCAGATTACCGGACTCAAACTGGAATTGGACTGGATCGGGCTGGATATCATATTCCCCAACGGTCTCGATCTTGGCTTTCTTTTTTAACTCGGAGGAAATGTCGCTTTCCTCGTGGCGAGGAGCAGATGCATGCCATGGATCTGGCTATTCGGATTCCTCATTACTCATTACTCAATTTTCAACAAGATTTGCCGTGTCTGCAGCTGACCACACTTCAATTTCCCAAGCGAAGCGGCCTTTGATGCTAAGGTGAAAAAAATCAACTGCTACCCCAGATCGACGTAGAAACGTTGTCTTTGTCGGGAACGGCGACCAAAGGGAGACAGTCAGCTGCCAGTCATAGGCTGGCTGGAATTGGGGTTCTATTTTTGCATCGCGGCTGGGCGAGCCTCGTTCGGGTTCCCCTGAGCCCCTGGCTGATCTTGATCAGCAGCATGGAAGCACCGCCACGCTTGTGGTCCTCTCTAGCAACTCTAATGCTGTCTACGCACGCCAAAACACGAACTGAGGCTTCCATCATCTGCACAATAGTCAATTATCAACACGAACGGATCCTTGAGTTCTCACATGAGCAACTGTCAAGGAGCCTAAGTCGGGAACGTGGCCAGCAATTAGGCCGCCCAGCATTCTAGCAAAAAGAGCCGCAAGACCTACCAGTACGTGCGACTAGGTCTCACAAAGATTCACGAGCGACCCGAGGAAATGGACGACACCATACATAAATTGGCTGGGCACAGCGCCGAGAAGCTTTAAACTTCAAATTCGCCGGAATTTGCATACGTACCTGCAAATGTAGCCACTCTGACAGAGCCAAGTCGCCAAGCCTGTGCGTATCTACAAACGGCACATTGGAGAAGCAAATCGAAAAGGGAAAAAAAAAAACGTGGGCCGCATATTGCTTGATTTTTCCCACGACTAACGTCACAAAACTCATGGTCAATTAGGATACTCGGCACGTTTAGGTATGTAAGCCGCGTCCATTCGGTCATGTACAATACAACTCTCTCAGAGAACTACTTTGTTGTGGATAATCTTCTTGTATCTCCAATGCAAGCAAGGCACGGCAGCTAAAAAATCGTTCATACGACCAAAGAGGACCGGGTCCCGTTTGTTGTGGGTTGAATTCCCCATTGTAACGCCCGCCGTGATGTATCTTTTTTTTTTCTCATCAATGATACGCTTCGAACTGCCACATACGGACCAAGTTCATAAGGCGAATTGGGATGCTACTTGGGACCAACGCCGTGATAAGGCCGCTTATCAACGGCTATTTCTTTTGCTGGTCTTGGCTTTTTAGAACAGGTAGTATGCTATTCCCCCCAGTCAAAACTTTGGGGCATCTATTCCGTATACCAAGCCAGTTTCTTATGATATGTAAGCCGAGTTGGGATAATCGATTTCATGACTGTTGGAGGCCTCGTTTGCCCCCCATCAGTCACAAATTTTCCATGCAAGAAGAACCAAACTACAGTGTATTTAAGGCTTTGGTCGCCGAAGCAAAACAGGGAGAACAACAATCAGCTGCAGGCCATGACAGGTATTGATTGCTTGTTAAGCTCTAAGGAGGCTAGGTACCTGTAGTTACAGGCCACCTGTACTATGTACGGGCACTTAGTGGGGCACATAGCCAAGTATGTGGTAAAAGTCACCTAAGAGTCATTCATTAATAGAAGCGCCGGCGGGTGAGTGTCCACACTGATTAGTTGCGTTGATAACAAACCTACCTATCCGAGGTGATTTCTAGACAAATGGCAATTCTATGATAAGAGCTTAAGAGATAATGACAATTATCATTGAGAGACAATCTTGTTGGTTGTGCGTGCTGTTTGTGGCTATCAAATCGATACGGTGCGCCACAAAGCCTGAAGGGGGCGCCACTCCCCTGCGAGACCTCGTTGTATCTAGCGGATTCCCAATGGCGGCAGATTTCCAGGGCCGATCCCCCACCATGGCCGGAGAAAAGACCCTTAATTGCAGCACGGAAAGATAGCCGCTGGCAGGCGTATCAGCGGCATATGGCGGGGTAGCTTTGGGTAGATACGGAATATATCCAAAAATGTTTTGACGACGGTCCGGACGGATGAGTGAGTGGATTACCTGATTTCACACCAGATCTCCGGAGTCGAGTGACTGCCTTTTTGACCCAGAATCAGAGTTTGCTTGCGCTCGTCTCCAAAGCAGCTAACCTTGTCGTTTGACAACTTCTCCAGTCCATTTCTCCCCGGGTATTCTTCAGTAGGCGTCATTCAGAGAGAAGAAGAGAAAAAAAAAACCGAGATGGCGTCTCCACTGAACCTCCACGCGCAAGCCGAGGCACTCGATAAAGATGACAGCTTGAAGCATCTCAGAGACGAATTCGTGATACCATCCTTGGGTGATATCAAACGCACAACTATTCAAAAAGGTTCGTGCCACCGTTATTCAGCTGCGCAGAAGAGAGATTGACCGGTTCCGCCAGATGCCAGTGTGCAAGAAACAGCAGAATCTGCCGCATCGTGCACCTACCTGTGCGGAAACTCATTAGGTCTCCAGCCGAAGCGGACGAGAACGCGGGTGCAGCAATACCTCGACACATGGGGCACTCAGGGTGTGCAGGGCCACTTCAAGCCTCTGGACGACTCGCCGCTACCGACATGGCTTGACGCGGATGCTCACGTCGCCCAGAAGATTGCGCCCATTGTCGGCGCCGATGAGTCCGAGGTGGCCGTCATGCAGACCTTGACGGCGAACTTGCATCTCTTGATGACGGCCTTTTACCACCCAGACCCAAACGGCAAGCACAAGATATTGCTAGAGAGCAAGGCTTTCCCCAGTGATCACGTACGTGGTAGAAGACGCCTTTACTTCTCCGCATTTGGACATCGAATTCACTGACACTGCACGTATAGTTTGCTGTGCTCAGCCAAATATATCATCACGGCTTGTCTCCCGAGACCTCAATGGTCACGGTAGAGGCGCCATCGTCCGAGGACAATGTGTTTAGCACATCTGCTATTCAGGATTTGATCGCAGCACACGCCAAGGACACGGCTCTCATTCTGCTGCCAGGTATCCAATACTACACTGGCCAATTGATGGATATTCCCACGATTACAGACTTTGCACACAAACATGGCATATTCATCATTTGGGATCTGGCTCATGCCGTTGGCAACGTGCCGCTGCACCTCAAGGAGTGGGACGTGGATGCAGCCGCCTGGTGTACTTACAAGTATCTGAACGGTGGCCCTGGTTGCATCGGTGGCATGTTTATCAACTCTAGAAATAGTCTCGTCACGACTCAGATCACGGACCCGAACCCAGAACGAGGATACGGAAAGCGGCTGTCGGGCTGGTGGGGCAACGACAAGGGCACCCGCTTCGTCATGGATACAAAATTCCATCCAGTAAAGGGAGCAGCAGGTTTCCAGCTGAGTAACCCAAGCATACTTGACATCACCAGTCTGGGCGCTTCGTTGGAGGTCTTTGAGCTGGCGGGTGGAGTCTCGGTGTTGCGGGAGAAATCCAAGAGGCTCACAGCCTTTTTGGAGCACTGTCTGGGTTCCATGCCGGACAATGTGAAGAAGTTGTTCCGCATCATCACGCCGACGGACCCCGAACGGCGCGGCGCTCAGCTGAGTCTACTTTTGCTGGACGGCATGCTTCATACAGTGATGAAGGAGCTGACGGACCGAGGTGTGATTGTGGATGAACGCCAGCCCAACGTCGTTCGCGTAGCTCCCACGCCGCTGTACAATACGTTCAAGGACTGCGTTGATTTTATCGAAGCCTTTGAGCCCGCGTTGCTGGCTGCTGAAAAGCATAAAACTGCGTAAGGGCATTCACAGGTTCACAAGAGTGTGGCATTTTGGCTAGCATGGTTTGGAGTCTCATTACATACGAATAGAAGATAACATGTTCATGGTAGATTGGAAAGAAGAATATCAAAATACCATACCATTGAATTGCGCAGACCCCGACTTTTTCGATGTGTATATAATTAGTCGGAACCGTCCAAGCACAATACAAACGCATGGCCAATTCAAAGATCTGGCAACTATACCAAAAGCATACACCTGAAAACTTGATAGCAGAAATATGTGGCCAATGTGTTTGGAAAACAGGCTCGGCAAAAATGACAGGGTAAATGAAGATGCAACTGTGGCTTAGCAGGTAGAGGCAATGCCGCTATAGTGTTTATGCGAGTCGAGGCTAATGGGGATACGTGACACCTTAAAAAAAACATCATTCCTGGTTTGGATGGGGCGCGAGCTTCTTGGTGGTGCTGGGCGCACGTCATTGGTGTCGCTTGCCGTGTTGTTGAAAGCTCCAAGAGCTGGACCAAGATTTTAAGGCCTCCTGTTTCGACGGGAACTCGAAAACAAAATCAACTGCAACCTCCCGCCTGCTTTTCTTCCTTTCACCTGCGATTAAAAATCTCCTCTGAACATCTCCATAATCGATACACATACACGTACCAAACCAGCAACTGCAGTTTGTAGATTGCAGATTCTTGAACAGAGACGCGATCCCAGAGGAACCACAAGCCAGTAAGCTCCAGCCCAACCCACCCTCCCTTCCCCAGGGCCGCCGCCCCACCATCGTCATAAGGTCCGAAGGGGGCGCGAGATTTAAAGCAAAAGCGCAAATCGGATCCCGAAAAAGACTTGACATTTTGCTAATTGATACAGCATAATCAAATCATCATGCCTTTCTTCTACTCCAAGGGTGTCGGCGGTCGCCACTTTGGCACCAACATCACGGCCGGTAGAAACGGTGTTCACCGAGGCCCGTGGCGGTTCAGCTTTGGCAAGTTCAACTGCTTCAAGTCGCACTAGTGGTTCTGCCTGTGAAAGAAAAACAAACCTTTTGGCCTGCCGCTTGTAGCCCCATTGCAATTAGGGGGCAGGGAGAGGGAGGGGTTGGTAATACAAATGAGAAGCATGAGGAACGAAGACGACAATACCAGAGGGGGACGAAATGATTTAATGCGAAACTGCCTTTTGAGGCCTGGTGCTTTGGCGTTCTAGGAATCGTTATTTTCCTGACAAGGAAGGCTGCATGAAATGGTTTAGGAAAGATAGGGTAATTTGATACGCCTTTCCATTGCTTTCATTGAGAGTACACATGGTTTTCTGCTGGCTAGAAAACAGTGGGATATGTTTTTGTCACTGTGTCCGTGTCTCGCTTCAGCCTCGCGGATGATCAAACATGGAGCATAAGTGGTAGACATATACACATGTCCTTCCACGTGCAATGTGTAAAATTACATCGAGACGTTCATGGAAAACGTTTCACATTCATCGTTGTCATGAATCGCCGTAATAACAACCACAAGGTCATTTCACTTGACGATATTCCTTCTCTCCTAGCATACCTAAACTGGACTCGCCCATGAATTGAAAGAATGACGGCTCGAATATTGTATGAAACCATGGTCATACTACGAATGCAAAAAGTACAAATTCCCAAATTTCCTTTCCAAGCAAAACCCCTCGTCAACTTGAACTTCTTTTCTGCCCCGTACCATGCCTTCCATACCCAAGAACAAAATCAAAAGGGCAAACTCCCGAGCTTGATCTCAATGTCGTGATGTAGCTGCCGCAACCGCGACTACTCACCGTCATCGCTCGAGATCATGATTGTGTCGTCGTCATCTGCTTCTGTGGGATCACGGGCGCCATAGCGTAAAAGTAGGCGCTCAATTTCGGCGTTCCTGCTGTGCGCAGCACTGTCGGTTGCATTTATACTCCTGTTGATTTGCAATGGAGTTTGCTCGCCCATTTCTTTGAGGAGCTCTAAAGAGATGCCGTTGAGATTGAGTCGTCCATAGCCATGAGGAACTTGTCCCCCAGTGACTCCTGTGAGATTAGGGTCCGCCGAGGTTTCAAGCAGCACTTCCACCCAATCCAACTATACCACGCTAAATGTCAGCAATTGCTTCCTTCGGATGGAAAGGAGCCAAATCAAGACTTGAATGGTACATATGTTGCAACAGACAAGACTGTGTGTCAAAATTGTACCCCGAATCAATAGGTGAAGAAAGAGTAGCGATTACTTACCTCCTGAAAGGCGACAGCAGCCTGGAGCGGTGTGAATGCAAATCGCCGTTCCCTTGTGTTCGGATCTTCATTCGACCCACGATGATCATTAGCTTGTCTGAAAGGCACAGGATCAGCTTTCGCACCGCGGCCGAGGTCAGTCATTGTTCGCAGAAAAGCCAACGTTGTGTCAGAATCGTTGTCCTCATCGTCGGGGCTGTACATGGCTGCATATAGGACTTCAGATTCCTTTTCAAACGAGGCATCATGCTGAATGAATAATGAGAGGAAGTTCAGACGTCGCTGACGAACACAAAGCAATAAGAGGCTCTCGGGCTGGCTTGGCCCAGACCTTGTCGCCCGTAACTTGAATTTGGTACTCCAGATCTTGGCCCTGACGTTTGGGTGAAGTTTGATGAAGTCTGGGTGGCTTTTCAGGTACTTCACGGCCATATTATACCAGCGTAGAGTGATCAAACTCAAGAGCAAGGTAACTTGCTCGGCTTGGTCACCTTTGGGAGGTGTTTCCAGCTGGTTGATGAGCTTGTCCCAAGTACTAAACCTGGTGCTCATGTCCGTGGCGATGCCGCGTTGAAGGCGGAGATGTTTCGCATGTGAGGAGCTGTACTTTAGAGATTGAATGAGCGCTTGGTACAGTTCATCATTCTTGTCAAAGTCCGGGCGCCGATGGTTCAAGGCATCCTCTGTCTTTTTCAGGCAATCCTCTTCGTAGCGAGTCACCCTTGTCTTGCCCCCATTTGTGACACAGTGCCTTGTGCCGAAACGCTGCAGACCCTTGAAAGCCACAACAATATCAATTGTCTCTAGGACCTGTGGTGTCAGAGCAAAGAACTTGGCTGGGCGCGTTGCCGTGTCCGGGTGAACTAGATACTCTTTCACAGTATAGTGAGCAAGGCTCACCTTGTGGAAGGGTCCAATTGTTGCGTCTTTGAAGACCGCAAGCGGCGGACGATTGAATCTACTTATGCGAAGCAGACAGCCGCATATATCAACGAGCAGTCTGACGTCGTACTTGTTGATATCCTCCCCCATGACACGATAAAGACAGGCTTCGACGAGTACCTCGGCTGTAGGCATTTCACCATGTTGACTACACATGAGCGCCAGAGCAGTACGTGCAAACTCACTGTCTTCATTGGGTATCTCCAAGAGAATTCTCTCATATGTCGCGAAGACGTCCTCTGGAAGATTGTTCAGGGCTCGCCGAATTGCTTGCTCGCCATTCATGCCTTTGCAACTCAAGCGCTTGATGTGATCAATTTGGCAAGCAACCCAGCGGAACATTCCCTTGGCTCCGCCAACAAGACATTGTTCGATTTCACGTTTGAAATACTCTTCCCAGGGCAGTTTGGCCAATTCCGACTGAACGAGGCTCCGTATATCAGCCGTTACTCCCGGGTCAGACATGGAGATCTCGACAAGTGATGACAAGTGTGGGCTCATCCCCTCCAAGATGTCGGGCTCAGGACGACTTGTAACTAAGAGTGAGACTCGGCGGAAGCGTAGATCGGTACCAATGGTGAACAAGATGCTCATGAGCTTGTCGCGCGGCTTGCTCTCATCTACCGCGTCAACAATTACGCGGACACCAGACTTGAACTTGCTGGAGAGTTCTTCCAAACAAAGAAGGAGATCGTCCGTGTCCAGTTTGTCAGCACGCTTATGATTGTCATAGATTCTGCTTGGTACATAGTCGATTTGACTGATAAGCTGCTTTACAATGTGCTGAAGAAGAGTCAAAGACTCATCCCTATTCCTAGAATGGTGGCAGTAGTAGTAGGCAATGCCCTTGGAATTGAATTCATGACTTGCACGCTCAATGAGGTAAGATGCCAGCACTGTCTTACCAGTGCCAGGTAGGCCAGTGACCCAGATGAACTCGCGCTCTTGTAGCCACTTGTTCCAAGCAGGATTGCGGGTGAACCACTGGCAGGTGCTCTGTTGTTGTTGAGACAACCTGTCCTTGTGGATGCTCCTGTTCCCCGACATGTCGACATTGAACCATTTCAACACTTTCAGCTTGCGTGCATCATCCTGAAACTGAGTCTGGTCATCCTTGAGGGTTTGAACACTCTCCTTGATGACTACAACATCTTGTCTCGTCTCCAGAATTGGTCTTGCAAGCGCAGCGTTCAGGGTGAACTGGATCGATTCACGGAAGCGGCGAAGCTTCTCCAGAGGTTCCTTGATGTTGGTCCTTCTTAGCCCTTGTTGGATCCTCTCCAAAGTGGTGTGCATAAGCTTGGCCCGTTTGGGCCCAGTGCTTGGTGTAAACTTGCCAGCCTCGAGCAAGTCCATCAACTCCTTGATGACCTCGGTAGCTGAGTCCAGAGTGCCATTCGGCAGACTGAGCTGCCTGAGGTTGGTGATCTCTTCAGGATGCGCATTGATGAAACCTTTTAGCCCAATGATGCTTTGCTCAAACGCTGTCAGTTCGCGACGTACATCCTCGAGCTCCTTTGGGGCATTTTTGACTGTTGAAAAGAATTCACAACATAGACCGACCAAGTCGTGAGACAGACTGACGAGGCTAGAGATCTGGCCAACGAGGGTGATGACTTCCGCCATTATGGTGTCTTGTGCGTTTTGCACCAGCCAGTGAGGATGATGGAAAGGCAAGTGTCATACAATAGTGCATTGAAACGAATGTAAGAGAGAAAGAGCATCTTATATAGAGAGAGAAATCTTAGACTAGAAATCAATGAGTCGGAATGCTACTCATTTCTACAGGTTTTCCTAATGGCAACAGAAACAAGACAAATATTTGGATAATAATAATAACACGTGTGATCGTGTAGTCATCTAGAGATATAAACTTCACCTTATACAAATATACTATGCTAATTTATGACATACTAATAAATATGACAAATATACCAGGTAGCAAATCTGTGATTTAACGGCAATCATTTTCCAAGCATGAAGACTTTCACGACGAGTATAGGTAAACTGGACGCCTCTGACATGACCTGACAATTTGTTTCATTTCAGCATTACCAAGGTACCTGGTTCAATAACTATCAATGGCCAGAAATGATTAATCGAGATTTTGAGCATGTTCAAATCATGAATGACTTTGGCAATAACAGTGCAAAGGACATGAGGAACATGTAGGCCTGATCTACACCGAGGTAGGTACCAGGTACTACTATGCGCCTGAGAGACAACGTGGACGCGCTACGCCACTTTAGGATACCCCGAGTGGGTCATTGTGGCCTGTGCTGTGCTATCACGGCAATTGCGGTGCCTTCCGCGCTAGCAGGTGCCTATCTTCTTCATCTTCACAGGGTCGTTGCGTTAATCTGAAGCTCAATCAAGCAGTAAATGACACTGCAAGATATCTCGTGCTGCAACCGGGAGAACTTCAGCCAGAACGCATCTGTTGCATAGCAACGACGCGTCTGTTCTACGCGTTGCAAGGAAATATTCCTCACATTTACAAAGAGGAAACCGATGCTTGAGAAACGTACGCGTTGGGCGACACATTGTGAGCTATCGAAATCGACATTTGTCTGGGCGTCGTCCGTCTGTCTAGCTTTTGTTGCTTGAATCAGCTCTCACAAATTGCTACGTCTCACCCATCTACAACCCACCAGCCAGCCAAGATGGATAAGGTCTCTCCAGAACTACTGCACGACATTTGTGCATGTCTGAAAATCGAAGATGTCCTGGCCTTTCGTCTCGTTTGCAAGGTCTTTGCCGATGTTGGCGCCGCCTACATGCTGCCCGAAGTCTCATTCTACATGCTTCAGGCCGAGTTCGCCCGCCTCAGGGCAATCGCGGACCATCCCATCATCTCCAAGCACGTCCGCTCATTGACCTACTTCGCGGAGGTTCTGGATATCGAAAAGATCACATTTCCCGCCTACGTCCGTGGGCACACCCGTGAACAAGCCGCGGCGAGAAGCTGGAATGGTTTCTTCAAACCTACCCCCAAGCTTGATAGCGCTGATCTCCCAAAGCTGCGCAGCGACTACCAGACCTACGAGCTTACAATGAAGCAACAACAGGAGATTATTGATCATGCATACGATGTGGAATGTCTCAAGGAGGTCATTCCCAAGTTCTCAAGCCTACGACAGGCCTCCGTGTCGTCGACAGGAGCCTTTTATGACGATAACACAAAGTCAAGAACGTGGGACGCAACAAGACCACTCGAACTTTGCAAGTCTCGCAAGTCACCATTCGAAAGCATACCGCTTTCGTCGGGCAACTCGCTCCTGCCCGAGGGCAAAAGGCATCTAAATGGTCTGATTGCCGGTCTCGTGGCCACCAAGACTCAGCTCGAGGGCTTCAGGGCGGGTGTTCTGGATTGGTCATATTTCAAAGACTTTCTTGAGATTCCTGATGGCCTCTCACATACCTTCAAGTACTTGAAGAGGCTTGAGCTTTTCCTGGATACCGACCCTGGACAAGACAGCCGGGGTATTACACGCTGTCGCAAGGCTTTGAGGAGCGGCATTCTCAAGCAAATCATCAAGCCACTGCAGCAACTAGAAGTATTAATGATAACCCTGTATCCGGTGGAATGGACTTCAGACGAATGGCCGGCTTCTCTTGGGGACATTATTGCACCTGGCCACACATGGCCTGCGCTCCGCGTAGTGTCCCTCGGCGGTATCAAAACCAATCGACACGACTTGATCAAGTTCCTAGAGCTGCACAAGGATACGCTGAAGAAGCTGTGTATGCGTGATTTGGGTCTGGGCGAAACCTCATGGTGGAAGCTCCTGCCGGACTTGCGGAACAAGCTGGAATTGTCAGACGTCTGCATCTGCGGCGACATTATTGGAAAGTCCGAGGGCGATGCAGATGGAGTCCCCGATGAGTTCTGGGATCTGGCCACCGAGGAGGACTATCCCCACCATAAGCAGCGCGCATCCATCAACGCCTATTGTCTTGGCCCCAAACATTATCCAGATAATGTGCCATTATCAAAGGAAGTTGTCCGCGAACACTACGAAGAGTACATAAATGACCCGGAGGCATCCTGCGACGAAGATGATTTTGACGATGACGATGAAGTGTACTTTGACGGCCCTTATGCTGAAGACTATCTTGACTTTTACGGCGATGAGGACTTTCTCGGCGGCTTCGATGATGAAGAAGACATGGATTTGGTCTCTCAAATGCTCTTTGCTGGTGCTGGGGGAGCCATGTTTGGCTTTGGAGCGCCCGTCGGTTTTGACGATGAAGAGGAGGAGGGAGATGAAGAGGACGAAGAGGACGAAGATGATGACGAAATTCCCGATCTTATTGATCCCGATTCTTAAGACCAATACTCAACCATCGGAGCATTATCAACTCCTTCCGGACGAGTCTGGAGATGAGGAAATTCATGAAAGGAGTTTCTGGCTTGGCTGAATCCGAAGCCAAAGCCTAGCGGGCACTTGGACTCACATTGTCCATCCCAAGGTCATCTAGCGAGCGTACTTGCGATTTGTCAAATGTAACGTAAAACTGCACATGCCTATAACATAGAAAGAGTGATGACTTGCAAATGTGTTGATGCATGTATTTATCTTCATAACTAGAGCAAACTATGCTTGAACGCAAATAACGACTTGAAATCTATCACATGAAAATCTATCACAATCGCTGATCACGGATTACTGATTAGAATCGCACCCTCCAAAGCCTTTGACCGGCACCAATAAACAATTCCCCCCTGTTGCCAAAGCACAGGCATGAACAACCTCCAGATATCTCAATGAGGCCCAGTGGTATGCCGCCAGGACTCCATATTTCAACGCCGTCACCGCAGGCAACAAACACGTTTCCATCAACATCGCACTGTATGTCGGCTGCCACACCGTCAAAAGGTACAGCGAAAACGCGTTTGTTGCCAAGAAAAGGTTGGCCATGCCGTACAATGACGTCGAATGCACAGATTGCGGGCGCGCTGCTCGTCAGGTATTAGTATATAGCGGTAGCAAGGTCAAGAGAAAACCATTGAGATTTCCCATCCGGCAAGAGGGGGAGAACTCACCTGTTTGTACATCCATCCTCACCTTCCTTGGCCGTCTTGACATCTGATATGTACGCCGTTGTTCCGTCCCGCGAAAAGGCAATGGCACCCGGTTTCCCGAACCCATCTGCCACCACCCGCGTCGATCCATCTCGGTTATCGTGCCTATACACCAAGCTTGGGCTTGTCCGCTGCTGCGCTGCTGTTGACCCACCGTTCAAGGCGCCGCTCATTTCGAAACCGGAATCCGCGTCGGCAGTGGTGAACCAGAGACTGTTGTCGGTGGGGGACTTTGCCACACGCTGCAGCGAACTAAACGGACGGCCCCCATACCGCGACACGACCTGGGGTGGGCGCTTTGAACGCGGCATGTAGACCAGGCCACCAGTCTCGCCGCCCGGAGACGTCTTGGCACAGTAGACGACGCCGTCCTCGTAGGCGCAGGCGCCCGCCGGGTTGGGCATGGACGGCGGGGCGCGCATCTTTTGCCAGACGGCGGCCGTGACGTCGGGGGACGGGTCATCCACGGTGGCGGGGGCGCGGGCCAGGGCGACGCGCGAGATGAGCACCTGGGGCAGCTTGGCGGCGGACCCGGGCTTGAGCAGCGACGACGTCAGGTACAGCTCGTCGTGCGCGGCCAGGTGCACGCAGGCGCTGCTGAAGAAGGGGTTCCGCGACGTCGTGTGCGACGTCAGGAGCAGGCTGTAGCGCGATTCCGGGCCCAGGACGTGCGAGAGGGCCTCTTGGTACCTCACCACGCGAAGGGTGCCGGGATCTCCGGCATCTTCTTGTCTAACGCACAAAAAAACACAACGTATTAGAAATTGTTGATGACCCATGCCGTAAGCTCTCAGCGACGGGGAAAATATACTGACAACGGTGGTTCTTGGAGGAGGTCGACATCCTAGGAATGGGTTTAGCGAGATTTCCAAATATGACGCTGTTCTCATGAAAGAGAACGAGAGGTGTCCAAATTACCACAATAGCTATCGGAATAGCCTGAATGTCTTCATTCTTGATAGATCGGATGGAAGTCATGATGAAATGTCACGCCAGGAAGCCACGTCCTGTAGCAAGGAACCCGCTTGATCCAGGCTACGTAGCAATCATATACGAGCTGCTCAGAGCAGTCGGTATATTGTTTGGTGAAAAAGATTATTGATTTCATGAAAATTTTATCAATTAGAAAGCTCGGAAAGATTGTCTTTTTTGAATGTCGGAGCTGACCCACTGTCTGACGTTGCTCAAAGATGACGAAGACCGATATTCCTTCAGGATCTTAGAGGTCTTGTCATCTGCCGTGAACCCATAAGCAAGCAAGCCAGCCACGCAGCTAGGCAGAGATACAGTGCAAACTTAAGCTAAAGTATCGCCAATGGCACTGTGTCGTACATGTTGCATGTGTTTCTACCCAATGAATTGGCATGTCATTGCATTGCTGCGGATATCGGCCAGATAACTCGGAGTTTTCAGAGTTGAGTGTCCTCGCGTAATAGATACAATGGGCTTTTGGTGTTTATTATCATTGGCCATACTAGAGGATTGTCTATTAGTCGGCAACTATGACAGCCAATTAACAATGTTTACGTGATATACTATGATTGAGCTCTACGACGTCTATTATAACATCAACAAGATTGTAATAATTCCCATAATGTGAAAGTATCCAGGAACTCCGACTTCTTGATTTCTGAAACTATCTATTGCCTTGCCGCAATCGCGTTTGATGCTTTCTTGTGACAACGCTTTCGACAGTCTTGGAGCAGTCTGAATCATGTCGCCAACGAGGGAATATCCATGGTCCCATGATCGGTTCACTTGAATGATTCATGTAAGGCTCCTTTTACATCTGAACACGGTGCGATAGCTTTCACTCCTCCCAGCCTCTGAGCCATGAGCCGAAGTGCAGATGATAATGGGCATTGCGCAGTACAACTAGTGGCAATTCATTCCACAATCCATTACGCGAGTGCTACTACTAACACCGCGACTGAGAAAAATAAGGATTGGCCCGATAAATTTCTAACTCAGACCGTAGAATCCAAGATGTGGGCGAGAAATATCTACTCTGTTTTTTTTTTTTTTTTTTTTTTTTTGCTTCTCACTTATGGTGAGGATTGTTGAATGAGCTTCACACTAGGACCAGGATCTTTATAGGAGACACGTTCAAAAAGACCCGGGTCAATATAGTATTCATGTCGGGATACTATCCTTAGCAATACGTGAACTGTCACAAAACATGTAGAAGTCGTATATCCAGAAGACAAAGGTATCAGTTAGGATCAGGTCACGCTAGGGTGCTTGGGCGTCGAAAAATCACTAATGAAACTTGTAGGATCTTCATCAGAGCAAAAAAAAAAAGGAGAAGAAAAGAAGGAAAAGTGTTCTCAATGTATATCGAAGCTTTATATTATGTCAGCCCACCTCCGATATCTACTCGAGGCAGAGTTGATAGTACTCCGCCACCTCATGTGACTGGGCTGTGGTCATCTTGGAACCAATAGGGTGAAAAGTCTTAGAAAATCTGACGTTAATAGCACAAAGCGAAGCAAAGTCGAGCCTTTGAAGAAGAAAAAAAGCACACAGCGCTTGACAGAGGAATCATATTCTCTTCTATCTTCAACCAGACAAACTCGGCAGCTGCAGACAGTAACCACACAACGTCGCAGGAATTATCGCCAGTGGCTCCAGGTCAAGCACAGACCTCAGTCGAGATGGAGAACTTGTGTAACGCTTCGCATCATACGGAACGTACACCAACTGCGCAGGCCAAGGACATACACGACGGCACCTGTGCGAAAACTAAGAATGCTTACCAGCTCACCAGTGGTGCTGGGCTCGTATAGATAAACGTTCGCTCATTTTTTGTAGGCATTTATTTCCGCGTGCTCACCATTCAAGCCACTGTCTTGTGGTCGTATCAGGCAGTCAATTCGTAGTCTTTCCGAGGCTATATCGGCAAAGCGCAAATTAACCTGTCGACTCCAAGAGGTTGCAGTGCGACCCGAGTCTTTCGTGGCTGCTCCCAGTTCAAATCCGTAGCAAAACAAACACGCGAGTCATTTCATTATTTTGAATGCTATGCTGAAGCTAATAGTTAGTGGCTTTTCTTTTCGACTGACTCTTTTGTGTCAGGATTGTCTAGTTGGTTTGCCCATAAGTACGACCAGCCAGCATTCCAATCACCATTCTAATGTGAGCGCTTGGGTGTTGGGTGTATAGCAAAGCGTTGTACGATAATTATCTTGATTGTATAAATGATGAAAGATCCTAACTTTATATGGGAAAAAGAGAAAAATCCGATTGGCTTTTTTCTTTTTTTTTCTTGCGCTGTTTGAGTGGGCTCGTTAACGCCCAAAGATTGGTTGATTATTGTTTGCTTATTTTTGACGAGAACTGATATTTGAATATTATTTCTCCATATTATACTAACTTCTTTCTCCATCATCGGTAAAGAAGAGCACAATAAAGAAATCAGAATCTCTGGACCGGCCCAATGTATGTGGGCATGTAGCACTTCCCACCATTAGAGTTGGCAAACAGAAATAGTTTATTTCAGCTCTAAGCATTTGCTTAAAGACCATGTTACTAGTCTATCCCATCTTTTCAAGTCAAAGGCAGGTTTATTAACTTTTCTTCGCTCATTCACGGCTTGACATGGCAGCAAGACCTGAATGAAACGCACCCACCCCCAAGTCACAGAATATAGCTCCAAATTATTTAATTTGTGTTTCGAAATATGGTGCTGAAAATCTGTATTTAAGTATTATATATCTAAGCATTATCTCTATCTTTGATTGCCAGCCTCAATACCTGATATAACAATTCGTATTTCCGTGTCATCCTAGCTGTTTCAGAGAGCGTAGGCGAACAAGGCCACGACAACACTTGCCAATCCAAATGCAATTGACGCACCTCCGCTCATGGTGTTGGCAGCGCTGGTGCCGGTGGCGGACGGAGCAACAGTGACGGTCACAGCAGTGGCGGATGCGGATGTGGATGTGGCGGTTGCGGATGTGGTCGTTCCAGAGTGGCCAGTCTGAGCAGCCGGCGGGGTGGAGCTCGTCTTTGTTCCCGAAGTCGACGTGGTCATGATATCGCCCACGCTCTGACAGAACGTGGCCAGGGCCAGCCAGTCCGAGTAGTATTCCGTCTCGGCAGTCGCGGCCCAGTCGGCGCACTCGCTGGCCTCGCCGTCAAAGACATCAGGGGCCCAGGTGGTGGAGCGACCATGGGTGGTGTAGCAGAAGCAGCTGGCTTGCTCCTCATCCGAATCTTCGTAGATGCCAGAGTTGGTGTAGGCACAGTTGTCAGCGATATCCACCACTGACCAGCAAGCGTCTGGTGCAGTGGCGACGGAGGTGTAGGTGGCGGCGGAAGTGATGGAGCAAACATCACTGCCTACACTCTTACAGTAGCTGCCCAGCGAAGAGTAAACTAGAGAGGAATTTTTAGCAGTTGTCATTCGTTGAATGTTGTTAAACACAAGGGGCACATACATGTGTACTCATAGGTCGACGCCGGCAGAGACTCCTCAATATACGAGGCACAGCTCTTTGCACTGTCGTCCAGGTACGTGGGATCATACGACGAGCCGTCACAGCACAGACACGCGTCGTAGTCATAGGCGTCGTAGCAATATTCCACAAGATATCCTGCATTTTCACAGCCATAGTAATTTGAATCATCATCCGAGGCGGCGGCAGCATTGACGACGGCAGCGTTGACGACGGCCTTGTTGAGCACTGGGGCGGCCGTGATTTGTGCTCTATCTGGTGCCTTCAGAGGCAGTGTAGGCACCTGGGCCGCGGTTGCCAAGCCAGCGGCACAGGCACTCAGCAGTATCGAACGGACCTTGGCCATGTTTGATGGTTGGAGGCGGATGGATTATTTGCAGGTAGGTTGTTGGCTTTCGAGGAAGAGGATGGTGTCTGCTCGAGACCTACGCAAGACCGTGGACGACTGTGCAACTCATGAACACTGAGATTCGGCGGCAGAGCCGTCCATACCTACTCATTAAATAAAGGAGAAGAAGTGCCTGTCAGTCCGAATCGCAGGTATCCATACCGTAGGCTGCCATCGAATCCTTCGCGATATAAACGGTCTAGGCCAGGATACCATGGGTCGATGGGGCTCAAGCACGACTTTCTATTCGCCCTTTCGGTCCATGATACCAGGGACGAAGAAATAAGCTTAGAAAAAGCTAATTTGCGATCATAGGTATCAGGACAAACAAACATGGCCGCTTGCCATTCTTTTTTTAGGGCATTTCTAGGCCATGTCTAGCATTGCGTGGTTTGTGTTATATGAACGGCCCAGGGAAGTGAGATGGTCATTGCCGCTCAACTTGAAGTCCAAACGGAAGAGGACCATATGTCAAGAGTGCTCCTATTCGGCCCTCAAAAAAAAGGGAAAAAACTCAATGGGAAATACCCTCTGGGAGGAACGACTGTGCCGGCGGTAAAATAAGGCAGGATGAGCTTAAATGAACAACGCAGCGGCTGAGGACTAGCTTGCTTGGCTTCCAAAACCGCCTGTCTTGGCAGACAAGGTGTGTTTGGGCCAGGATGGTAGGGTTCATCAGTCAAGGCACGTCCGTCTGGCACGGGGAGAAAACAGCATCACCAATCTCGCCTCGGATAGAGCCGAGGATCGTCTGAATTCATGGTTACATCATTTGCAGCACTGGTGAAAAGATCTGGGCGGAGACAAAATGTGACAAGACTAATAAGCCATGATATTATGTAAACTATAGCTTACCTACCTGGATAGAAACACCCGAGGGCATTATATTACTCAAGTTGAATGAAAGGAACTTACTCTCCGACTTCCATCCGTCCATTTTCATCTTTCCGCGCAAGTGAAAGCATCCCAATGCGCACAGACAAGACAACTACTGACTTGGTTCAGCAAAAAGACCAACTGAACCGAATTCGCTCTGGTTCGCAGAGATCGACTTGGACAGGTGATCTGGTGGGTACAAATTGGGCCATCTAGGTCAGAATCTAGGTCGCATACCGTCGCATGGCGAGTCAAGAGTTTGCATAACGGCCAGCTCAGTCGGTAAAAGCATGTACGTAATCGCACGCTTGGGCACCCAGAGTGAGTGAGGTTAGCGTCTTGATCGTCTTTTTTTACTGTACCCAAACCATTATGCGGGGAACATTCACCACTGCTTCTACTGCATGGAGGGGTATTCGGGGACTACGTTCCAAGGCGCATCCCCCACATCAAAAGTGGTCGTCAGCCTCGAGATGATCTACAATACCACTTATTAAAATACCTTTCCCTGCGACTCTTGACTTGGCCAGGCCACCATTTCCTTCTTTTCCTTTAAGCTCCGCATAGCTGGCTCAGCAATAGTAGGAAGATCAATTCTTGTCTAGGCTCTCATATCCTCCTCTGGTTCCAGAATACCATTGCCCAACTCTCAGTCTACGATCCTTGAGCTGCTGGCAGCAAACCACGCCATTGACATTGCTACAAAACACGGAGCTCAAATAGCCCAGCACATATCACCATAGTACTCTCGCCTAGCATATTTACGACATCTCTCGCGGACCCAACAGCAATGGCCGGCGATTCCAGCTCTGGGGCAACAGCAGCCTTATCCAAGCTTTCCCTCGACCAATCGAAAACAAAACCCGCCGCTTCCAAGACAAAGAAGCCAGCGGTCGCCGACTCTTGGGAAGACGAATCCTCCGAGGACGAAGGAGAAGGAGCAAGAAAAGAAGAGCCACAAGAAGATAGAGGAGATGAGAGGCCAAAACCACCCACCTACAACCCATCAACCCCAGCCCAGTCCTCTGGCTTTGCCGCGCCCCCACCGACGCCCAGCACACCCTCATACAATGCAGACGCATCATGGAAGTCAATGATGGGAGGTGCAGGAGGATCATCGGGCCCCGGGTCTCCAGAAGACGGCCGGAAGCGGCCAGAAAAGACCGACGCCGTGGCCCGGCGCATGATTGCCAGTGCCCTGGGCGTCAAAGCCCCGCGGCTGACGGACGAGCAGCGGGCCTACGACCGGGCCCTGCGCGACAAGGAGCGCAAGCGCCGCGAGGCCGAGAAGGAGGAGGAGAAGAAGAGAAAGGAGGACGCGGAAAAGGCCAAGCTTGCCATGTGGGAAGACTGAGGTTCGTGCTCATGGCGCTCCATCTTCCAAGTCCATGCCATGTGTATTGGGTGGCTGGTCGAGGGACTCCTTTTTACTCCCAAGGACAATGCCCTGGTATTTTTTTGACTGGGGATGCGTACTGTTGGGCATGGTTTCGCCAGATTCTTGGTTCATTGTTTTCAAAGCGTGTTCACGAGATCTCGCGGCCGAATGATGCAGCATGACATTGGAACAACCATTATCCTTGCGACAAATGTACAGGTTCAAGTGGTCGAAGGTCGCCGTGATGTTTCGGGTCGTGTGGTAGTCATCTTTCCGGGATTGCTTGCGACCGGGGGCAAATTCGACTTTCGCCGATTTTGGCAGCGCTTGGTAAGGCCCAGGACTGCTATGGCAATACAAGACAACTTGGACAAGTCATTTAGGATGATGTCTTAGGCAGAGGGCTTTTTCAGGCCAACTGTATTAGTCGTGCAAACCGAAGTATATGACGAGGAGCAGCTACAGCGTTAGCACACCATGTTGATTGTATATACTCGAAGAAGTTCAGTTGAAATTAAGCATCTCAATTCTGCATTTATAACTACAAGTTCCTATTCATTTTCAGCTAGATTTCACATGCAATTACCCGATTTGCGCGTCGCACTATGAATTCTGGGCGGTAGCCTCTTGTCTCAACTTGAAGACCTTCTTGGTAGCTGGTCGAGCAGTAAGTCTCTCATACCAGGCCCAGTAATTCTTGTACGCCTTGATTTGGTCCATGCGGTCAGCAAAGAACATGTGAATGGTCGACTCCCATGCGATAAAGGACAGGTCCGCATATGAGGCCTTGTTGCCGACCAGATACTCCTTGCCTTCGAGAATGTTATCCAGAACTCCCATCACTCGCACTATTTGACAACGGTTAGCAAAGGTTCTTGCCGATAAGAGGATGTACTGAAGTCGCCACTATGATCTGCCATCTCAAGAGATCAAGTCTAGGCTTCAACAAACGCAAGCATTTGATAGAATACTCAACCGTTTCAGTGATATAAAACTTGAGAAATGCTTACGTGTTTGCTCCTCATAGCGATCAAGTGCGCTTGGCACCTGTTCCTTGTGGAACAACTTGAACCACGCCCACTGTCCATAGTAAGGACCTTGACCAGACATTTGGAAGTGAAGGTACTGCTTTTCCAAGAATTTTTCAGGGAGCGAAGTGGAGCTGATCTTGTGGTCCTTGTCATAGGTTTCAATCAGGTATTCGATGATGGCGCCCGACTCCCAAAGAGTGATACCAGTGTTGGGGTCTTCAATGGCTGGGAGACGACCATTGGGATTTATCTTGGTGTATGGCTCTTGTTTGACGGTGCTCATGTCCACGAAAATCTACAGCAAACGTGTGAGCCGATTGAGCCGATGAAATGAAAGGGGGGTGCAATTACGTGGTTATATGGAAGATCCAACTCCTCTAGGATTTGGACAACCTTCCATGGGTTGGCACTTCGGACTAGACAAACTCATCAGTAAATGTAGTTTTCAAGGTGGAATATGTCCCATACAGTGGCCGTGAAGAGTGATGGGCTTCAGGTCAGACATTGTGTAGGTATTTGCGTCTGTGACTCTCTTGATAGATAGCTGAAGTATTGGCTTGTGCAGTGTTTGGCTCGATTTATGATGATCTGTGTCATGACAGTTGTCTGGGGACGAGGGAGAGCTGGTTTAAATAACCATGAAGAATCGATTGACGAGCTTCGCAGCCATCCCATAGCCCCTCTATTGGAGAGGAGCAATTCCTCCAATCTTGATAATCAAAGTGATCTCATAAGAAAAAGACCTTTCTTCCCTGCAGACATGTGGCTTGGTAATCATAAAAGGCCATGGAATATAAACGCTTAGGGGTTGCATTTAACTCAAATGGTGTTTGTCCAATTAGAAGACTTGACGCCCGGACCCACACTTGATTATAGTCGCACCCGCGCGGAGAATTCGGACTTCGTCAGCACCATAATGTCGTTAAGTCCATGAGCAGATCGTCAGACGCGCGGTCATTTCTACAAAGACGGCGTCGGCTTATCTGAAGCTGGTCTTGTTTTTCTTCTTGTCGGCAGGGCCCTCGAAAGTCTTGGATATGTTTACTCAAATCAGTCAAGCATTGCGGGTTGCCCTTTCCAAGTAAGCATCAACTCTTGCTGCGCTCTAGTCGTTGAACGGCGAACAGCAACTCCAAGGCCCGCGAGCCCTTCTTCTTCTGCCTTGGCGTTCCATATCATCTGTTGGACGCTCCCATCAGATAGGCAAGAGATGAATCCCATTGGCCAGCGACTGCGTCCAAGAGAGTCTACCACGCCCTTTGTCGCTGCTTTCTGCGTCACGAGTAGCCCTAAGACATTGCTCCCGCGCCAGCCAGGAGGCGCGCCGACAAAAGCACCTTCGAGCTCGCGGATTGTGGCAGGCCCAATTCTCGCCTTTGAGGTTGCTGAAGAAGCTTTACACTGCAGCAGAACACGCAGGGGTTGCGGTGTGGACGGAACAGACCAAGAACCTAAAAGATCAATGCCATAATCGCCAGCACCTCCAACCCGCCGTAGCTCGAAACCGAATCTCTTGAGGGATGCGGCCACTGTGTACTCGTAGTGAGTGCCAACATAGGTCGTGGTGCTGGTGTCAAGTCCTATCCGCTCAGCGTATGCTACATAGCTCGGCAAGTCGTAGTGATCCTTATTGATTGAGTCGGGATATCTTAAACTTGGTAGGGAGTCTGATGGTTGCGTTTCCACCTCGCTTGAATAGGCACGAAACTGTTGATACAATTGTCGTTGCTGGCGAACCAGCTTAGAAGTGCATTGTTTTATCATTGTTTGCGTTGACGGAGACGACCATCGGATTTTAGAGTGCAGTCTCATCTCGTATGATTGTCTATCGGTTGAGTGAAGATTATCAAATGAGAGAACAATGCGGCATTGAGTCAACGAGACGCAACCTTTTTTTTTCTGAGGCCTTGGGATTGTCGAGATTGTCCTCCCTGTCAATCTGCTCAAGGGAGCTCTGGCCAATCAAGGCTGCTCCCGCGACCAAGCAGGCTAGCGGGTAGGTGCCATAACCAGGTGCCTACAACGTGCCTAATGCAACCTTAGACAAATTCCACCGCAACGATCAACCCCGAGGCAGAACACACCCAACAAAGCAACCTCCAAGTCTCATCACGTCTCCTCTTCTGTACCTATCTGTGTACTGAGCCCCAGCTGGAAGTGGTGAATATGGGAGACAGACTGACTCAATTACAAGACGCTGTTGACCAGGTAAGATGATACGCTTTTCTCGAGGATACATACCGTCGTTTGACTGACATCACGCAACTTCTAGTTGGCGCAGCAGTTTGTCGCATGCATCCACTACATCAACCAGCATCACAACCTCCAGACCCTGGGGCCAAACGACGAGGTCCGGCCTTCCACCAAGACACCTGATCAACAGGAGGGTAAGCCCCTCGTACCTGTACACCTGTCACAGCCCTTCTTGTAGAGCTATTTTAACACCGCGAAAAACGTAGTCGACCCCCATCCATCAGACGTATTCAAGGCCAATCAAATCGAGCTCGCCCAAGACCTCATCACCAAGGAACAGCAGATTGAGTATTTAATCTCAATACTGCCTGGTCTGGACAACAGCGAGCAGGACCAAGAGCGCAACATCAAGGAGCTCGAGGAAGAGCTCAAGATTGCCGAGGCGCAGCGTCTCGAGGCAATGGGCGAGCGCACAGCCATCAAGAACAAGCTGGACGAGGTTATTAGGAGTATCCGCCGTCCATGAAGAGCAGGATGACCAAGAAACAACAATGAGCATAGCGACAGCATGATACCCGGGGGAACAGGCGCATTCGGAAAGCATTTTTCAAGGCAATTTGAGATTTAAAATTGGAAATTGATTTAATCATCATTGATTGACAATTCGCTTCTATCATCTACTCATGCAGTAACGGCTGTCGTCGCCGCAATTCGTATGCATGTCCCTCCAACGCCATCTATTGCATGCCAGCTGCTCGAATCCAATAACTTCTAGACTGCCACAATAAAGCTGTCTAAGGAAATATGTAGCTTAGCTTTCAGATTTGAAGAACTGAGGAAAGACGTTGCGCAGTTCTTCCAGGTGTCGAATCTGGTATTGTGATGCTTGCGTCCTTGGGACCTTGACACCCTCCTCAACGAGGTGTACTGCCGTCCAGCCAAGCTCTTTTGCGCCTTTGCAGTTGCCGTAGTTGTCGTCTGCATTTCTTGTCAATTTTCACGGCTATGCGTCGATGAAGAAATAAAGAAAATAATTCATATCTGCGGGGGCACGCACCGACAAAGTAGCAGTCCTGGTTGCGCTGTACACCTGCTTCTCTCATTGCTTTGGCAAACATGTCCTTGTGAGGCTTGCATATGATTGGGATCGACGAATAGTCGCAATACGTCAAGCCCTCGAACAGGTCCTCTATACCGAGCAGCTTGACGACCCTCTTGGCATGGTTGACATAGGCATTTGTCAGCAGCCAGAGCCTCACCTTGCTGGTGTCGATATCCTCGAGCATCTTACGCAGTTGCGGGTTTGGCTTGATGATGCCTTCCAGGGGGAGTGCATCGTCCACCTTTGCATTGTACTCCAAGGGGTCGATCTGGTGGTGGCGGACGAGTCCCTCAATGGCCAGTCCGTAGTTTTGATAGTACTCCTTGTGCAGCCGGATAGCTTCTTCTTCGCCCAGGCCGAGGTGCTTTGCAAAGTACTGATCTATCAGGTCTGCCATGAGGTCATGGACTTTGGCGCCTGATTTTCCTGTCAGTATAAATCGCCAGAAAGCGGTACAGTATTTCAAATGAGAGACCGACTCTTGGGATATAAACAGTTGTCAATATCGCTGTACGAATCTTGTTAGTTATGAAGGCTATTCTATTGTTCCGGCATACTGACAAGAAGAGAACTGGTAAATCCTGGCGTGAGCCATTTGGCGTTTCTGTTTGTGATCCCATTGTATCGAACTTGAAAAGGTATTCTTCAACGAGATAGGAAAGTACGCTTTTGGTCAATGTGTACTCGGTATTGTTCAAAGAAAGATATTATAGTGCAAATAGAGTAGAAAATGAAGATGTGCCCCAGAGTATTGGGTGGCGTCGGTGAGGTCTGACTGGGAATGCGTGGGGTCTTCGAGTCGGGCTGTCTACCTTGTAGGTAAGGTACGATGTAGGTACCAGTTTATGTATGACTCTCCTCTTTTATACTTAGTGTATAGATGCTTCGCCCTGTCTTGCGATACAATTGTTCAGATCCGTGGTTTGAAGTTATCATCTCATTGGAAAAAAAAAAAAAAGGTCATGTAATTGACAAGAATATATATCTAGGTCTGGTTTAGCATTGGTTTATTGATATTGCTTTTTGCTGAGTCACCGGCAAGAGGTTTCGACTGCAACGTTTGTACGTGCGCTGCCGAACATCGCTGCACTATTGAGACCGAGGGCGTTCAAGTTGCAGAGGTCTCGGATTTTTATTAGTGGGGTCAGGCGGCTAACGCAACATTGAAGAAGCACCTGGCACCTGGCCTGGCGCCACAAATTTTTTTCTTAGCCGTGGAAGTTGTGTTGGTTTGCATATGCCTCGCTCAACCTGCGGGCAGAGCCTCGAATTTTAGCAGCAGCTACCAGAGTGGATCCAAATCTGCCGCTCGTTTCTCGTGCAATAAAAAGCTTCCGCGTTGGTGATGCGACACGTCGGTCCTCTCCCTTCCCATTCTCCTAATCATCGTCGGTGACGTACGCGCATAGCAAGCACACGGCCACAGCACAGCGCCGGATTGTTTTCATATTACCTGTTGATTTCTTTTTCCTTGTAATCACATAAATTGCACTGCACTTTGATGGTTCTCGAGGACGTTCATCTTGAATGATCCCCTTCTTGCTAATCCTTCATTGATCATGGCGCAGACTAGCATCACGACAATGTCGATGCCGACAAGCGCTCTGGCTACCACCGACGGGCTGCTTGAGATGAAAGAGTACCATAGGATTGTAAAGTTTCGCGACGATATTCTGTCCGGCCATCATCCTCGTATCAAGATCCCAGCACCCGCCGGCGGTGCGAAAGCTGCTCAAGGTACCCAACAGCCTACGGCACAAAACTCTGCCAGCGCAACTACAAGCTCGCGGAACGAGCAAAATGTTTTTGTTTCCAGCAATTTAAAATCGTTCAAGGCAAATTCACAGCAGCCGGCTATTGTTGTACCAGTTACCAAGCCATCTGATACTGCGCCAAGGCCATTGCCTTCGAGCAAAACTCAGATCGACCCATTATTATTGACCAAGTCAGATGAGCTTATTAAGGCTGAGCTGCATTTGCAGAGGCAGCGCTTGGAGAGGTCTCTGAGAGAAGAAATAGAAGCACAACGTGCTGCGAGTAAATCCAACGAGCAGGCGGCAGATCTTGACCTGTCCGACATTCTCGCCAAAGCCCTCACACTTGTGCAGGCGACTGCTCCACCGCTAACAGAGACCGACTTGGTTGCTAATGCTCCTTCTGTATCAAGTGATTCATTCGACGACAACACTTTTTACTCGAGCCAGCATGATACGCCCGAGCCCGAACCCCGTCCTCAAGCTCAAGCCCCGACGGCAGGAGTACCTGTGCAAAATGCTACGTCTGTTCAAACTCGAGCCGATGTTTCCGAGCCAAAGGCTACTCACGACCACACACTGGTTCCATCGCCCTTCTTGTCCAGAGCCGAGCAACCCCACATGTCTGGTGCCCCAAAGGCAGGTAATGGAACATACACCGGCCCAAACACATTGCTTCAAGACACGTCCAACGCCCACGACTCGAGATATTCTCCCACTTACGACATCGACACTGTCAGCTTGGGGCTGCGCCCCGGCGCAGACGAGCTCCATGCACAGGTCATCAGTTCTAATGGCAGTGGCACTACCAGTAGATCGGGCAACTCTGGGGATGCAGACCTCGAGCGCCGTGCTGATTACAACAGGCTCCAAGCTACCCTTCCTCCCCCTCAGAATAACAGATATGGCTTTGGGGAACCTCTGGTGCGCGCTCACGATCTCTCTCCTTACGCACCTCAGCCATCGCATGTGTCGCCTCTCGCTCTGGCCCGTCACCAGCAGTCTGCTGTTGAACCAGAAATTAGCATCCTACAAGGGGCGCCTGCTCCTGTTGCAGCTTTGCGATTAGAACAAGGAAATGGAACCAGCCCAGAAAGCTCCCCGCAGGGTGAGAAGGGAGGCAAGAAAAAGAACAAAAAGAAGAATAAACGCAAGGCTGCTGAGACACGATCCACAGACCGTCCAGTCTCTCCAATCATCAAACCTGAGCCTAGGTCGCCTTCCCCCCTGACCTCGCCTCAGTTTGCGAGACCACAGAAACGTCAACGGCCCCTTGCCCAAACTCAGGCTGCACTTGACTATGACGACAACTCTCGCAACGCTCAACCTGTGCCTGTAAGAGTGATTGAAGATGTTTCCGCCCATCCTAGGGAGTACGAGAGCGTATACAACCCTTATCCTACCGAGGTGCGTTATTCTGCAGTTCCTGGCAGTCAATGGGTCGACCGTCCAGTGTATGAAGAGCGGCGGCCTGAAAGTCGTGTGCAATACATCCGGCGGGCGCAATCCCCTACCTATGCCTCTCCACATGGTGCTGGCGAGGTTCGACCAATGCGCTCGGCAACCTATTCAATGGCAGAGCCTGTATATCGGGAACCATCAGCGTTTCGACGTGAAGGGCGCATGAGTGTGCGACCAGTTGTTGATCGGGCACGGTCTCGTTCCCCAATCATGGTGGAAGCCCGCCAGTCTGGAATGGCACCGCCGCGACCTCCCACGCATATCTTTCGTGATGAGTTTGGCCGTGAGTACATGGAACCCCCTCGTCCTCCGCCATCAGTATCGCGGTACTCTGCGGCACCGCCCAGCAGATTGGCTGAAGCCGATATCATCTATGAGCAAGCACCTCTCCGTTCTTCGACACGCATGCCGGGCCCCGACACTTTTGAACGAGATGGAGTCCTTTACAGACGTGCTTCGCCCCTTCAAGCAGCGCGTCGCATCATCACACAGCCTGAATATGGTGTCCCAGACTATCGCGAGTATAGGCAGCGAGAATACTCGGCGCGCCCGGCACCAACGCCGTCAGCACCGCAGGAGCTTCTGCATTATCGGAGCGAGGGCCGAGCGCAACAGGAGTTTGTGCCAGAATATGGCATTAGAGCCTCCACTGTTCGTCCTCCTGAGCAAAATCGATATGAATATCCAGCTAGGGTAGCCAGTGTTCGGCCAGATGCGGCTGTTCGGGACTACGCCACAAGTACACATCCCGAGGTTCGGCGCGAGGTGCCCATTCCTGTGTATCGGGAGTATAGTAGCAGACCGGCTTTTGAGCAGGAGCCGCCTCGCCGCGAATATAGTGTGCGGCCTGTAGAGCGGTATTATGAAAACCGTCCAGTATTGAGGGAAGATGAGATGCAGTACATCGATCAGCCGCGTACTGTGCAGCGAGAAATTATTTATGAAGATGGTCTCAGGGAAGTCTACCGATGAGAAAGACAACATTACATTAGCGTCGAGGGACACAGGTCATGATTTGCTATTATATAATTGGTGAGGAGGAAGTAGGCCAGATGACAGTGCCTGGCGGAACCAATATCAAGTTACTTTTCATCAGAACTACTATCGCTGCAGCCATCGACGGTTCCTAGCCTACGAGTCTCGTAGGGCAATACGTGTATAGGAAGAATCGCATTCGTGATCATTGGAGCGATTTTCCCTTCATATGATAGCTACAATTATCGCACTGAAGCCACAAACGTAGTGTAAAAAAAAAAAAAAAAAATAAAAAAAAAAAGTCTTATCTCTTGTATACAAGTGACATCGGAGCTACAGTTCTTGTCGTTTTGAAGGTCAAGAGATTACTGCAGATCTTGGCCATGTGGGCTAAAGAAGATCGGCGCATCATTCTTTTCCAGCTGCGTGTCATATATGTGCCAAGGAGGTGAAAATGGACAGCAGAGTAACATTCGATACCAAACGTCCGAATAGGACGCAAGCCGTTCAAAGAAAGCAAATTTACCTGGCCGACCCGGAGGGAGGGGTTTACGCAAACACGCATGATGTATGTATAAATATCCAAGTGCTCACTCAGCGGCTGAGGTGGGTTGTTCAATCACCGCAATAAGAAGCGGGATGGTGCTGCACTGTATATGTTGACTTCATTATAATCCGAAAGAGAAAAGAAAACATAAGAACCCCATACAGCCGTGATCGTCCCGTTTTCGAGTTGCCTACGTACACAGTACTTCCCATTCCTGCAGATGGTCCAATTTGAAGTATCATTGGCACTGCATTGCACCGCCAAGCTTCTGGGAGATCGACATGGCAAGCATATGTGCTCTTTTTCTTTTGTTTCCTCTTTTGGGGAGTGGGAGGGGCGACCAGCCCTATAATCCCCTCGGCCTATATTTACACACATGCTTTGATATGGAGTTATGAACTGACACCCCCAGCTCTACTCTGCAGATAACGTGGCTCCTACAAACTTGCGGTTCATTCCACTTGCGGTTCATTCCGCATGCGGCAGATAGCTGCAAAGGGGAGCTACTGACCCGAGCAGCAAGCACTCCATACAAATACTTTCCTGTCTTTTTAAACCTATATTGAGAAATGGGGGTCTTGCTTTGGAGCAGCAGGAGTTACTAGTCCGGCTAGCCAGTTGGGCTTTACGTATGGGAAAACAGAGTGTTCCCCCGCATGATTCTGTCTCGACAAATCTAGCCAAAGAGGGGTAGCAGATTGAACCGGCGTTGGGCATATGTGCAATGTTCCTTGCCTGTGGACATGCCTTTTTCGAAGACGGTCTTGAATGTCTTAGGAAGGGCAAGTCTGAGATTGAGGGAGGATGGGGAGAGCAAAGTAGCCAATGTTAAACTTCAGACGACCGCCAACGCTGCCCAGACGGAGTTTGCTATTGACGTGCATATTTTATTATAAGACACACACACACACACCTACACACACATACACCTCCCTGGACAGCTCAATCAAATTTGTCGATGATCCTATTCCAAAACGACATTGTGAATCCGGGTAGCTCCCACGAGCGCAACTTCGCGCGGGCGTTAAACCGGCTGCTGCAGTGGGTCTCCTCCAAGCTCAGCTCAGTCGAAAGGCCAGAAGTTATGTCTGGTCTCTTTTTGGTGGGCACATGGGATTGGATTGCCAAGTGGCCTCCGAATCGGTCTTGTATCCGGTTCAAACCTTCAGCAGGCGTTGGGGGCGCAGCACATGTTTAGGGGAGAAAGAGCTCCACGGAGTGCTCGGGCACTACGGAGGTCGCTCCCAAAAGTCTTGAGCAAGCCCACTTTTGCCCATCTGGCAGGCCCACACCTGTTCACCAGCTGGCAGCTTATCTGCAGCTGTAATCTTACCGCAATTTTAGCCTACTTTAAGCATTGATATATAAAAACACCCACTTATACGTGGTTTTATTGACTAATATATCGTCGGCAGATATATTATAATTAAGATTATTATAAATAAGTTAATATAATAGAATCCGTAGCTTTAATTAATTAAATTAATTAGATTATATAGTTTTAAATTGCTAATTAACTAATATTTTAATAATTAACGCACTTTATATAGTTAATTTTATTACACAAATTTATATAATCCACCTATCCTCTATTTTTACTAATTTTATTATAATAATAATTAATAATTAGTTAACTATTATTATTTACTCCTATATAAATATAGCTAATAAGTTTATAATAGTTTTTTTAAAATCCCCGTTTTTTAATTAGTTAGCTTCATAAATTTTTGACAAATTTAGATTTAATAAAGCTGGCAAAAAAGTATTCCCGGTATTAATAATTAACAAAATATACCGTAAAGCTATAAATCGTAGCTTTAATCCATTTAATTAAATTATTTAAATTAAGCTTAAGTAATTAAAAGACGCCCCCCGATCCGGTAGGCCTAAAAAATAAGGCGAGGAGTTATCTAATCAAATTACTTTTATAATCCGGAAAAATCGCTATAGCCGAGAAAAAAGCTATGAGGTTATAGCTTTAGAATTTAAAAAATAATTCGATATTAACGTTTCCTATACAATTATATAAAGGACTTTTAAAGCCTTAAATTTTCATAAAACGAAGCCTATAAGAAAGCCGGGTTTAATACTAAAAATAATAGAAGCAAGGTTGCAATTTGCAAAAAAGCACGAATACTAAATTATAAAAAATTAGAAAAAGGTTATATAGTCCGATGAAACCAGTGTTATAATTAGTTAAAGAAAAGGTGGCTATAGAGTTTGGCGCACTTTAAAAGAGGCATTTACTAAGATTTATATACGGCCCCGTTAAAAGGGCTATAGCGAGTTTATATTTTAAGGCGCGTTTAGCTAAAACGCTATAGGCCCTTATTATTATTAAAATAAAGAGACTGCTATCCAAAAAAGGAAGTTTATAAAATAGGTGGAAATATAGAATTAAAAGCTTAAGCTAATTATAAAAAAGGAATTCGAACGGAATTTTATTATGGCAGGTATAGGCTTAAAGAATAAACCTAAAAAGACACTTATATAGAAGTATAAAGCCATAATAAGGAGGTTATCTCGCATTAGGAAAGGAGGAATCGACTAATATAGGTATCGCTAAAAGGTTTTATTGCTAAAGTTATTTCCTTTTCGGGATAAATTTAAAATAAAAAGGAAGGGTATAATTATCTAAAAAAACGGTGCCCCTGCTTATAAGCATTAATTTAACTAACGCACATATAATATATTAGGTATGTTTAAGCTGCTATAGCCTAAGAACTCACCAGATTTAAACGCTATAAAGCCTTTATAATTCTATATAAAACGTATTATTTCCGAAAAAGGACCACCGACTAATAAAAAGGAAGCTATAAAACGCTAAAAATAGGTATAAAAAGAGTTGGATATAAAGTTAGTGCGTAAATAAATTAAAAGAATCCTATATTATATATAAGAAATTATACGATTAAAGGGAGGAAACGAGTATAAAGAGGGTAAAACCCCGCGCCCTAATAAGCCAGGAATTAACTAAAAAGTCCTAAAAAGGAAAAAAAAAGATAATAATTAAAGTCAACGACGATGCGGTGGACTAGGAGGATTCCGGTAATAAGTTAACTACAGCTGAGTTGGGGTTTCTATTGAACTATAATAGCGATTATGTTATTCTATAGTAATCTAATGCCAGCTATTTGATTGGCTGCAGCTGGCTGCAGCTGACCATATTTCGTTAAAAAATGGGCTTGCTCAAGACTTTTGGGAGCGACATCTATAGCTTCTTAGCAAAGAAGAAACATGCCGGGTCGGATTGCGTCTGAAGTTTGAGACTCGGTACGTGTCGGTAGAAATGGGCCCAAAAAGGCTTACCTGGCTCACCCAAACCCGTCCAGTGTGGTTGGGACAAACCGTTTCTGAATGGGCCGTAAGTGAGAAGCTCACAAAATGCTCCGACCTGGAAAGATCTTCAATATATCGTTGTTGTCTAGACCTGAGACTACGCACAGGCGAGGAGCTCTTTTGTACTAGGGCACGCGACAGCTGGCAGCAACAAGAGAGCTGACATGAATAGAATGGCACGACTCGCTTCGCGCCGCGACCAGGAAACCGCCTCAATGCCTACCGACCAGATCGGAATGGACCAGAATGTGGTAAGCACGTACTTCCGTACTGTACAGACAAAAGAAAACTGGAGAATATTTGGAACTCTGAGGTACGAAGATCTTATTCAGAAGACTCGCTCACCAGACAGGCCGGTGGCTATGTCGGACTGTCAATTTCGGCGCTGAATGATGCTTGATTTGTTCTCATTTCGAAATAACCAACTTTTTGGGGAAATAAAACATGCCATCGCTGGACATGACCCCTGTTAGCCCTGTGACCGTGACGCTGGAGATTTGCATAACAACTTTGCGCTTGAAATCCCCATCAAACCACGGACCCTTGGCAGAGGCAGAAGAAGAAGAAGAAGATGCCTGGAACATTGGATCATTAAGGATTAAAATGAAAGATGCCTCTGCAAGAAAGAAACACAGTCATAGGCGCGTACACAGTAGACTTTGCGGTCCGGGTCGAGGAAGCAAGGATTCACCGAACATGTGTTCAGGTGTAACGGGGTCTTTTTTTGGGTTGACTGTCCGTCCGGTCCGTAGCTTGGAAATAGGTACGTAGAATTGAATGACCCTTGACGCAATGTGCGTAGGTCAGCGGAAACGCGCAAGCATGTGCAGTTGTCTCCCGAAACCCGAGGCCGACGACGATCCCGCTCCATGCATACTGTGCTGTCGTCGTAGTAAAGAATGTATCCATTCAAGTATTTAGTATGCGAGGTCATCAGCGAAGTAGCTGACGGCCGGTGAGCGAGTCGAGCCGTCACCCGCTCGGGAAACTCGCTATAGGGCCTAGATAAATGTAGTTGAAACCCCCTTCCCGCTAGTAAGGCGTAGCTCGCCAGTGAGCCTGCTGGTTAGCAAGCCAAAGCCATGCAGAGGGCGCAAAGTCAGCTCTAGGGATTAATGCTGTTGATCACCAGTTTGTAGTTACAAAAAAAAAAGCAGTAGCTATCAACCTGGCCCCAGTTAACATAAATACTGGCAAGCTTCGAGAAAGCGTACCTAGAAGCCCAGATCTGATGTATGGATCGATTGATGAGATTACAAATGACGAAGATAGGTACATGAGGTACACACGGAAAACAATCTTGGAAGTGCTGAGTGCTAGGAATCCGTTCCGGTTGGGCCCTGTCGGGCGAGCAAGCATGAAAGAGATGGTGCCATCTTGATTTAGTCTAGCTTTTATTAGACATCGGCAAAGTAGCAAATAATCATTTTACCGTACCTAAAAGTAGATGTCGAATATTGTGAGCAGTACATACCTAGTAGTAGGCAGGTAGGTAGTTGGCAGACCTTCACAGCTGAGTACACACGAGCATGCTGTATCCTACCGACTTATTTACCTTGACCACATCTTCTTGCTGGAGGTACGATCACGCGCGACATGTAGGTTGGAAGGTAAGGGAAGCAATTCAATGTGAACGTAGGTAGTAGTCATGCAGAACAGTCGACGGCTAAGGTTGGCTACCTTAGGTAGAGGTGGGGAGCAACCCAAGCTGCAAGCTTGGTTTCTTAGGCCAGGCATAAACAACGAGTGGCGCGTCAAACGGTAGATAACGGTCGGCAAATCTTGAACTACATATGCTTTACTTTTGCCGCAACGATGGGTGGGATATGTGCAATATCAAAGCCCGATCTGCAAAACCCTGGCAACGTCGGGTATGCGTTCGAAGTCTCTGTCCATCACCATTGCTGGCAAGCTGGCAGTTGGAGACGAACAACAGATCCAGCGATCAATGAATGGGGACAAGTCCCAATGGATCAAATGCATGTGTGGGCCATGTGGGGGGCAGGTCTTGAGGCGTGCTGCTACCCCATTGGCGACCCTGTTTCGATCCTCTGGTTCGAGCCCTGGCGGCCCTGTGCCTGCTAAGCCGGCCAGCCTGCAGCACAGTGAGCACTTAGCCACAAGCACTGCATGAAGAGGGCGCACATTCGCACCAAGTGAGCCCCCCCCCGGTTAGTCCAGGTATCACAAGTGAAAAAAAAAAGAATTGGCGATTCAGGCAGAGGTAGTATGTGTAGATGGTGAGTATCATAAAGGAAGAAGAAAACTTGGAAAGCAGGCAATAGGTAAGGTAGTCATATTCAGGTAATAGACAGTAGACTGGACATGTACAAATATCAAGGTAGGTATCGTAGGCAATGTAGTTCAATAGTACCTAGCTGCAGGTAAGTACGAAGTACGCTCAGCAAACATGAGCGCACCTACCAACTCACACCAGCCCACTGTCGCTCTCTCGCTCGTTCGCTGGCTGGGCTGGGCCCGCTTCTGTCTGTACCTACCAGGCCACAGTACCGTACACTACGGCTGCTACCTACCTACCTGCTGAACGTCTGGAACCCCGGCACTCGACCCGACGTCCACTCTTCTCACCAGCCAGACCAGCCAGACTCGCACCCGTCAGACAGACTCGTCTCCGTCCCATTCATTCTCTTGTGCAGCCATTTCGTCGTCCACCCTCCTTCTGTCCTCCTCTCACCACATCTCCATTACCTTAAACCTCACCTCACCTCTCTCCGCTATCCCGTAGTAGAGGTGTTATTTTTTCGTAGGCAGGAAGAGTTTTACGAGGTCACCTTCGTTTTCCTTCCTTCCTCCCTTCCTTTTCCTTTCCCTTCTTTTTCCTCTTTTCGCGCGCTCTCTCTCTCTCTTCTATCCTCCTCGACCCCCAGCAAAAACCCCACAACCGCGAATCTGGAGTCCTACGTGATTGATACCCACCTCCCCGTACGTTGTTGGCAGTGACAACATCAAGAGCGCGTCTGCACTTCAATATGCAAAAACTCGCCAATATGCGTCACTGGCCTGAGAGGATGAGCCCAAACTTTGGCATGTCGCCGAGACCGAACATGGGCGTCTCGTCCGTTCTCAACCCCCATCAGAAGACGGCTGCCTCGGGAGCTTCGCCCTTGAGTCCTTCGCCCGCCGCCGATTCTACGATTCACTACGCCTTCAATGTTCCCTTTGCTTCCGATCTGGCAGGGCCCAACACGGAAGAGATTCTGCATGCCACCGGCGATTCCGTTGAGCGATGGACGCATCCCGGAGACGCCCCCGATGACGTGCCCGTCTACGACCTTCCAGTCCACGCGCAGAATGTAACCAACCTCCGCAACATGTGTGCCGACCTCACCAAAGGACCGTTACCAATCGAGGCCTATGTTGTCTCGACCACTCCCAGCCGTGCAAAGTCGCAGGTCACCACCGTCTGTCTTTCAGGCCCACCGGAACTCGTCCACAAAAGCCGTGAAACCATTTTAAATGATACCCCTCTTGCTCTGGTATGGATGTCCAGATCCTCGATGCATTGCTTCTCAATTGGATAATGAACATGAGCTAAGAACTTTCCTGCAGCGATGTACCACAGTCGACGTTGAATACGGTCTTGTGGTGGACACCAAGGCCGGTGTGCTTATGAAGCAGGTCACAGACGCCCTGGACACCTTTGCAAAGTTCTGCGGAGTTGACATCTTCATCCTTGGTCCAAAGCTTACCCCCATGATGGATGTCCTGAATGGGGATGTGGAAGTGATACGCGACCAGAGATGGAGAGTAGCCATCTACGGCGATGCTGAATCCTCTGAGCATGCCAAAACCCAGGTGCTGATCTTTATTGATAAGCTGGTGCGTTTATTGCCGCAACCCCCAAAGTCACCTCTTGAGAATCACTAACCTCTTGCGCACAGCTTGGTCGTACAGTTGATGTTATGCGTATTGAGAGCTCCATGCACCCAATCATTTGTGGAAGATCGAGGAAAAACATCAAGCTCATTGAATCGGCCACCAACACTGCCATCTACTTTCCTCCATTTGCGCAGCCCTACCGCTACTGCCCACCCATGGCACAGCGGCGTGATCCGAATGAGATTTATATCACAGGAGAGAACCCCCAAGGTATTGAACTGGCCAAGCGTAAGATTCATGAGCTTGTCACACGCACGAATTTATTCCTGAAAGATTCTGTCGCTCCACCATCAAAGATTGACATGGTTCTCCTTGGACGCATGGATAAAGTGCGCAAGATCATGGAAAGCAATGGCACATACGTCATGTTTCCCCCTCTAGCTTCCCAACGTAACACAATCCGTGTTCAGGGTGTCGAGGGTCTACAGATTGAACGCAGCATGAAGGATATCATGCATTTGGTATGTATTTTTGTCGACCTTGGAGACTCGATAGAGAACCTCTTTCTAACCTTATAATAGGCTGGTCAATACTACTTTGCGACTTGGTGGATCCAGCAACCTAATGTTTCTCAGCTTCCCAGTCCTCAAGACATTCGTACAGTACTGGGAGATATCTGTGCCAATTCCGATGCCGACATCTCCTTTGACAAGTCGACCTTTACTGTCACGGGCTCTGATGACGCAGTGAAGGCTGCATTGCAAGTCTTGGCAACAATCAAGTTTGTGTATTCGACGCCGCACCAGATCAGGGTCAAGATCGAGCTCGCCAACGAGCACAAGGAGTTTGTTTCCGGAAAGAAGAATGGAAAAATCAACAAGATCATGACCCAGAGCAACGTACAGATCATCTTCGACAGTTTCAGAGAATACAACTTCGATATCGATGTCATTGCACCAAACTACGAGGCCATGAAGCAAGGTCTGGGACTTGTTGAGCAAGAGATGCCCGCATCCATCTCCTTTCACGTGCCCGACCAATATCACAAGCGCATCATCGGAATCGGCGGACAACATATCCAGCGTATCATGAAGAAGCACTCTGTGTTTGTCAAATTTTCCAATGCCATGGATCGTGGTGGCGTCAATCGTGAGGACGACGACGTCAAAGTTGACAATGTCATCTGCAGAACTCCCGCCCGTAATGCCCAGAATCTCGAACTGGTCAAGTCCGAGATTTTGGACATGGTGGATCGTGCTGTAAGTAGAGGACAAAATCCAACTGGTTTTGTGTTGTCAGCTAATTTTGCATCACAGCACTCCGAGTTCACTTCTCAAGTTGTACACGTGGATCGGCTGTACCACCGTCAGCTCATCGCCCGCTTGCCTGAAATCGAAGAACTCGAGAAGAAGTGGAACTGCAAGTTTGTTTTCCCGAGCACTGAACAAGCAAGCGATGAGGTGACTGTAACCGGACCCGAGTGGCAGGTGCCCCTTTGCGCGGACGAGTTCTTGGGCATGGTACCTGAAACTCACGAGCTTGTTCTTGTCCGCACACCGGCTTTAGTCAAGTTCCTCGAGTCGCCAGAGTTTGTCAACGAGCTCGTTACCAAATTGAAGGCTCAGCATGAAGTCACAGTAGAGGTTCATGAGAATCCCGAGGAGAAAACCGAGGATGGAGGTCGCACCGTAACCTTGAAGTGGAAGCTCACACGCAACAATACCGGTGGTCTACGTGATGCAATTGACTTCCTGCAGAATCAGTTTGCTAAAGCCAGTGTTGAGCCCACGGTAGTCAAGGGTGCCATTCCTCGTCCCAAGTCCGATTCCTTCGAGGAGTCGCTCCAGTACTTTGACTCGAAGCTACTTCAGCATGCGCCAGCACCAATGGGAACAGACTCGCCCACCAAGCCAGCATTTGGTGAGGAGATTCAATCTCGCAGCACCACACTGCTCGAGAAGCTTCGCAAGCCAGCTCAGCTTCTTTCTTCCCTGGATCGCAGAAAGAACAGTTCACACTCTGTGAACACCCTGTTCAAGGGCTCAGCCAATGTTTCAAAGTCGTCTTTGATCTCCATCGAGTCAACCCGAAGCTTCAATGCTGATCGAAACCCCTGGAACGATAGTGGCGTCAATCTTCCAGACGACGACAACAACCCTTGGTCGAACCGCCACTTTGGCAATGGCTTCGACACCAAATTGACGCCTCCCAGCATTCTGCACAGCGGCGGCGATATCACGCCCCGACACGGCCCACGCGGTTCTGGTGACAGTGGCCGGCCTTCCACTTCTCATTCAACACATTCTGGATACCCCGGTCCCATTGGCGGACCTTTCCGTTAGATTCTCATCTTTTAGATGCTCTACGTGCAATAGCCTCTGGCTGGATATACCCTGGCGTCAAAATACCCGGTCCATGAATTTGCATTGGTCGGTTTCCAATTGTTGCTTTGCGTTTTTGTTTTTTTCTCATTCCTCTTTTCATTTTGGTCGTTATCTTTCTCTTGGTTTCGATTCCCCAGGGCAGCCAGACACTGCTGCGCGCAGATTGACTTATGCTATATCTACGAACCGACATCTATGATACCACGAGCTGCTCAGGAAGGGGGGAATTGGCGTTCGCAAGACCGAGTCGGCGAAAGCGTACTCGGATGATACCACAAAAAGCAAAAGTCATACACGGCAAAGATACCACGTGAAGTTGCGGTGCTGTTGCGTTATACACCGGCGTTCATCTATAGGAATTCAATTTTTCCGCTTCTCTCCTTTCACCGTTGTTTGCAAGTCTTTTGGCATTTTCAAATATTTGTGAGCATACAACACACGTGGCTCATGGTATACCCAAGAAAAAAAAAATCACAAGGAAAAACTCGAACCCTCGAGTCCCCGAATGAAGGAGACTTCTCTCCAGTAAAACGAGGAAAGACGGCTTGAAGTTCTGCTGTAAGTCTCTTGGGCGAGGCTGAGGGACAGGACGGGGAAATTGTTGCGGGCATGGATGATGTGGAGGGGTTTGGCGGTTATGATGATCTATCTCATCGGGGATAGACTGAATGGTGGTTGTTGGATTGTGTACGATATTTGAGAAATGATGAAGCAGAGATACCCTGAGCGCCTAAAATGTCCTTCTTCAGCGATTTTTTGTTGCTTCTTGATCATTCATGGTGAATTTCTTACGGCGTATGGAGATGTTGCAGTCGTCCGTCCGCCCGCCCTCCCTTCAATTTGCCGACCAAGTATGGTATTTGAACAAGCCTCACATTACCTACTACCTACCCTCTTAGGTCTTTTGTAGTTTTGACTGGGACCAGAAGGGACAAGCCTCTGTAGGTACTTACCTAGATTACCTAGCGGTATAAGTTGTAGTGCATTTGGACCAAAAAAAAAAAAAATACTAACGACC